AGCTTAAAGATGTGATCACTGCAACAGTTCGGAGCTTGTTGGTCAAATACGATGCCTGCCTTTGGGTTTGCATGGTAACCAAGAAAGTGCACCCTTTTGCCTTTACTTTGACGTCCAAGAAAGATTGTTTCTCCAGCCACGAGCAAATGGTATATCAATAATTTTGTCACATCCGACCTATCGCAGTATAAAGTTGCAGACCGCGCAGGGTCCTCAGGTTTGAGACATCATTCGCCCATTGATATTCGGGTGAAGCGAGCTGCGACGGACTGCTGTAGATTAAACGCATAGATTGTCACACCCTTAAATATGAGATATTATCTAAATGATGTCCGTTCCGCTTCAAAACAGCTAACGTAGAGGCTCCAAAAGCCGTAATCGCACGTTGTAACGGGGTGAACTGTTACATAACAATTTATAAGAAATTGTTAATAGAATATAACTATAAGAGTTATATTCTCAGAATATTATCATAAGGACAAATATTCCTTTAGCACTTACGAGTAGTCCCTAATTGGTTGATATAGGCCATTATATCAACCAACGAAGACGCGCCACGACAGACGCGCGCAATGAGTGGTGAGCAGATAGTTGATATACACATTTTTATTTCGACAAAGTTAGATGAGGATAAACAGTGGTTTATTAACAGACATTAACTATTATAAATACAGTTCTACTTTTTACTTTAACCAAGTACTCGCTTCTCCTTACCGTCTTCCTCTGCACGTACGAGTGTACGTGAAGTCACGAGGCACCGCCTTATTCTGTCGTTAGAATAATTAGCTTGTACTGTCATCAGTACAGGCTTCAGGGTGCCCCGTTACACCTGGTAGCACTTCGTAGTCCGTCCAAGGACCACGTTCACATCTAACATGAATATGTTAGATGATGATGATGACAAAAGCTTTCACGCTACGCATGACGGCTACTCCTATTTAAGCAATGTCGAATGGGATGCGGTTGAACGTATGGGTTCAACCATGGGCATCCATGCTGTTAGCGTCATGCTAGAGGCTCTCGATAGAGATGCCCAACATGCTACTATCGCCAAGTTCATTCAAAATGACGCTGAACGCGAGAAAGTAGCCTTGCTTCACCAACAAGGTTCTCAACAAGCAGAGTTGTTGAGAGAACAGGGTGCTCAACAGTTTGAACTGTTGAGACAGCAGCAGGCTGCTGCTGGTGGGTCGATGCACTCGCGTCGACCCGAGACCTTGACGATTGACATCTCCAAGTATAGGGGAGTCGAAGAGGACTCCCTCTTGAGATGGTTCGTCGAATTAAATGACGCCATAAGGGCGCGTCGCATCGACGACGAGGAAATGCAAGTAGCATTTGCCCAATCAAATCTGGCAGGACGTGCCAAGACTTGGGCTTTGGGACTCAAGTTGCACGACCCATATGCGTTTGGGTCGTTGGAAGTCTTCAAGTCGCGGCTCAGACAAACATTTGAACCGCCTAGAGCTGAGTTCAGAGCTCGAACTGAACTCTTGAAGCTCAAGCAGGGTAAGCGTGATGTGCACGCTTACGCGCAACATATACGACATCTCACGAGTTGTATAATTTCCAATCCGGTGGATGAACACACGTTTGTTTCGGTGTTCATGCAGGGTCTTGCGGATGGTCCCGTCAAGACTCACCTGTTCCGACTTGAACTAGATTCACTAGAACAAGCCATTTCCATTGCGGAACAGGAAGACTACAGTCTGAGACAGGCTCGCGCCAGCTCGACATCATATCGTCAACCGAGACGATATGACAACGGAGGTCCAGAGCCGATGGAACTCTGCTATGTAGAGAGCGAGAAGGCTCGCTCTGCAGGCTACAAGAAGTTGCAGAGATGCAACAGATGTCAAAAGACAGGACACTACGCTTACGAGTGTAGTGCCCCTCGTCCAGTGTCTCGCGACACTGGTCGTAGTGACCGTCCACCCATGAGAAGGGGCAGGGACGCGGGTCCGCCGTTGGTGCAAAGACGCAACAACGGGGTGGACCGTCAAAAAACGGTCAGGATCAGTAGGTGCGGAGTACCCTACTGGTCCAGCAACGTCAAGAGAATTTGTAGGCCTCTTGATGAAGATTGCTCCCAACGCACAAACGTTGTGCGTTGCTGCTCTAGGTAATGAGGACTCACTCATTACCTTGAAACTCGAAGTGACGAATAAGTTGTCCCTTCGAGCTCTAGTCGATTGTGGGGCGTCCAACATTTTGTGCGACGCCAATCGCTAGAAGATGGTCACTTCAGTTACAGTGAATGTGACACACCTCCTACGAGGATGACGGTACGTCTTGCGACAGGCGCATCCGTAACCGTCATGAAGCGTATAGTGAAGATTCACTATACGCTAGAAGATACCCAGTATGACGATGACTTTATCGTATTGGATTTGGATGACAAATTTGATGTCATCCTTGGAATACCGTGGCTCAGAAGGTACGAACCACGGGTAAACTGGCAACATCGAACAGTAACGATGCCTGCCGCTTGTTCATCAGATGGCCATCTGATGAACGTTTTGGAGCGTCCACAAGCGTGTGGATGTACTACGAGTGAGTGCGATGGCCTCACTTGTGGTACGGTCGTTAGTACGACTGCACAAAACCTTAGTGTACCAAACGGTTACACTTCGGAGCAAAGTTCCGGCGGCTGTGAGGAAACACAGGCTGCGCCGAAGGTCCACCACTCGAATAAGTCGAGTGGACCGGGACAAAGATGTATCCCTAGCGGGGAACATCTAGAAGAGAAACAATCGATCGCTCAGATTAAGCGAAACAATAATCCTAGATTGACTGGAGAGTCTTTCGTAGAGGATCTAGCTGTGGTTGCGCAACCACAGCTAGAGGAAGTAAAGGGAATAAGTCCCGATAATGCAAATACGGCGGAAATAAGTTCCCCGGAACCCGCGGGAATAAGTCCCCGGGAAGCCGAAGGAATAAGTCCTTTAAAGCCTGAGGGAATAATTCCCCAGGAAATGACAGAGACATTAAATGTCATAGTCAATAACGGATCAAGTGTAGGCGCTTATACACTTGATCTGATTGCGCCTCCGAAGTTGACTTCGGAGATCACTCAGTTGCCAACGCTCGAACATAAAAGGTCCTTGCGTGATCTGCGTAGTGGCAAAGTCAAGCAGATCTGCGTACTCGTCGCTGACGACGAGTGTGTAACCGACATAAGGTCAGCAACAATTTTTACTGAGAACGAGAGAGTTCTCAGTAGTTCATCTATGGACGAGAGTGTCCTAGATAAAAAGACACGAATTGAGCGATATGACTCCCAATCGTGGGAATCGCTCAAGACAAATCCTCTCTATGAAGATTTGGTTGAATTCAAGGATGTATTCCCTGAAACTGTTCCGTGCGAATTACCGAAGGATAAAGGTACTCGACACGAGGTCGAGCTTAAACAAGGCTTGAAGTACTGTGTCATGAAGCAGTGGCCACTGCCTCGTGAACAAGTACTTGCGATCGACAAGTTCTTTGCCGATCGTTTAGCTGCGGGCCATGTGAGGGAATCAACTTCCCCACATAGCTCTCCGACCTTCCGTGTGCGAAAAGCAACAGGAGGGTGGCGGATAGTGCATGCATTCAATAAGTTGAATGCTGCAACGGTACCGGCACAGACGCCGATACCGAGGGAGGACGTAATCATTGATGGTATGTCAAAGTGCACCATCTTTTTGTCCATGGATTTGATGGATGGCTTCTATCAAATCCTTATGCGAGAACGGGATATACCCTATACCGCAGTGAGCACGCCTAGCGGCATGCTCTGGGAATGGCTAGTAATGCCACAAGGGCTTAGTAATGCCCCTGCCACGTTCAACAGGTGTGTATCACATCTGTTGAGACCAGTACGAGAATTCGCGCCGAGTTATTTCGATGACGTATTCATCCATAGTCGGGCTATGGATGGAAAGTCGGACGTTGAGGTTCACAGGTACCACGTCCGACAGGTTCTTACAATCATGCGAAAGCATCAATTGTACGCAAATCTGAAGAAGTGTATATTTGCAGCAAGAGAAATACCACTTCTTGGGTGCATCGTTGGTAAGAACGGTGTACGTCCTGATCCCGAAAAGATCAAGGCGATCACCGACTGGCCTGTGCCAGTCGATGTCAAAGGTCTTCGAAAATTCCTTGGGCTAGCGGCGTATTTGCACAAGTATTCACGCAATTACGCCAAAATGACTGTGCACCTCTCTCGTTTGTTGAAAAAGAACGAGAGGTGGTTATGGAACGCTGAATGTCAGTGCTCCTTTGATGGTATCAAACAGAGCTTGATACAATCCCCAGTCCGAGCAATTGCCGACCAGGAAAGGCCATTTCATGTGGTCTGTGATGCCAGCGATTTCGCAATCGGCTGTGCATTAATGCAGTACGACCTTGAAGGCGTTGAACGCGTCGTCTGCTATCAGTCGCGTCAGCTGCAACCAGCTGAGCGGAACTATCCAGTGCATGACAAGGAACTCCTTGCCATGAAGTATGCACTCGCGAAGTTCAGAGTCTATCTATTAGGAGATAGACCCTTCATTGTTTATACTGACCATGCGTCATTACGCACGGCAGTGAACAGCCCGCACCTTTCGCAACGAATGGCGCGGTGGTTGTCATTCTTTGCAGAATACAACTTTACGGTTGAGTACAAACCAGGACGACTTAATGTCGTCGCTGATGCACTCTCACGTCGTCCCGACTTTGAAACAGTCGCGAAACCCAACAGTGAGACAGTCACTGTTGCGGTTATGACGTCCTCAGTCCCATCTACAACGTTGTATGATGATGTGAGGCGGGCATACGCCCAAGATGGTGAGATAGTGAAGTTGTTGACACATCTCTCCCAACCATCTCGAGAATCGTTGAAACGATTGTCGCCTGCGTATCGATCTGCATCAGATCGATACACTACTCGCAACGGTTTACTGTATTATACAGCCGTTTCTGGTGACACACCACGTGTTGTCATTCCAGATGATACTGATCTGCGTTTGCGGATCATGTTCGAGTATCACGATGCTCCTATAGGAGGACATCGTGGCCGGGAGAAAACATATCTCACGGCGAGTCGAGACTTTTACTGGCCCCGCCAGTATCAGTTTGTGCGCAAGTACATTCGCGCATGCGAAGTCTGTCAACGAGTGAAGTCAAGTCCATCACTGCGTGCACCTTTACAGCCTCTACCGGTTCCGGCTGAGTGCTGGGAATCCATCTCAATGGAATTCGTCTTCGCGTTACCCAAAGACGCACGCGGGAATACGGGTATTCTCGTTTTTGTTGACAGATTCAGCAAAATGATACACCTTGTGGCTGTACCAGAGTCAATCACAGCAAGTGGCTGTGCTTGTGTCTTTATTGACACCATCTTCCGACTTCATGGGTTGCCCCGTGAACTCGTATCAGACAGAGATCCACGATTCACTGCTGATTTCTGGCGTTCCGTGTTCAAATCGCTCGGTACGCGCTTGAAGATGTCGACATCTGATCATCCAGAGTCAGATGGTCAGACGGAACGTGCCAATCGTGTCCTCGAAGAGATACTTCGAGGATACGTACACTCCTTTAAGAGTTGGAGTGAGTTCTTGCCAATGGTAGAGTTTGCCATTAACAACTCGGTGCATGCGTCCACGACACATACACCGTTTTACGTGAATGGCTTGCGCCATCCGCGAGTACCCACCTTACTAGAGTGTGACTCTGGTTTAAGGGGGGGGGGACTCGCGCGAGCAGAAAACGATTTGGTTCACGCTCATCACGCTCTGACGAAGAGGTCATTGCGTTTGATGCCGATATCGATAACATCGACATCGAAGAAGATGATGCCAGTGAGAGCGAGGAAGCCCTCCCTGAAGAAAAGATTGATGTTGCTGCGGTGCACTCACAGCGCACTGAAGCTAACGAGCCAGTAGATGAGTTCATACTGGCTCGTGAAACGGTAGTCCGTTTTGTGCAAGACTCCATCGCCGAAGCGGTGGATTAGCAAAAGCAAAACGCAGACAAGAATGGAAGGGCAAACACTCTTTTATTTAATAAAGGTGACTTAGTCCTACTGTCTACGGTTAATCTACCAAAGCATGTAGTGACTAACTTGGGTAGCAGTAAACTACTACCCAAGTACATCGGCCCATTTCGTGTATTGCATCGCCTAGGCAATGTATACACGATTGAATTGTTACGTAAGATGCGAACGCATCCCACGTTTTACGTTGGTCGGCTTTAGCCGTACGATCAGTACGCTGTTTCTTCCGATGAAGAACGCCCTTGCGCTCAAGCATCTCGCAGAGAGCCTTGTGCTCCCGATGGTGGGCATCAACAAGGGTCTGAAGAGCAGCTATCTCATCCCGAGACCGATCAACAATCCCACGAGCTACCCTTAGCTCGTCACGAAGAGATGTCAGAGATCTCTCGTTCTCAAGCTGAGCAAAGGCAAACTCAGCTCGATGCTTCGAGGCAGTGTCCGCCATTTGGAGACGCCTATTCCGCTCATGTTCGAGATCGTCGCGTAACCCTTGCGTTACGCGATCAAAGAAGCTCTCGGGAACACACCGATCCACATGATCGTGTGGAGAGCGTCTTTCCTCCTCCTCCACCTCCATTAGAGGACTCTCGCGGTGGCCAGCGCTATCTAGTTGAGCAGCTGTTGAACCACCGCGACGTGAACGGACGTCGGACGAGTTATCTCGTCCGGTGGCGCGGCTATCCCCCGTCCTGGGATACTTGGGAGCCCCGCTCCCAACTGATGGTTGACGTACTGGATCTGGTTGAGCAGTACGACGCGGCACATCCTGTGCCGCAGAAGGACCGCCGGAGAAAGTCTTCCCGGCACGGTCGTAAAGGGATTTCAGGTTGTCAATCCCTTCATACATCTCAGTAGAGATACGTACGCGCCACCACGGGCTAGTAAGAAGGTAAGCCTCCTTAGGTGCTCGTGCAGAGTTGTTCACACAACATGGGCACGAATCTCCCCAAGAGAGGCAGGGTAATCCTTTCTCCCTTGACAGACGATGCAGCTTATAGCGTGCACCTGTTGGGGTTCGCTCTTCAAACTTATCACGAGCTTTGATAAGTTTGTCGTTCCAAGCGTCACGACCTACATCCTCGAGGTTATGGATGTAGGCGTTCCACGCTTGAAGCAGTGGGGGACCATCACGTTTGTGATTCCCACTGTACTATCGATTTTTAAGGAAAGCATCGATGAAAAATTCATGCATAGCGCGATAGTTTTTCGCACTGGGGTCAAGGTGATGGAGCCTTGATGAATCGAACAATCGTGTTCGATAGTGATCACTTGTCGTCGCCGACAAGCGATCCATGACTGACTTTGGAGGCATCCATGTCTTCTTCTCAGGAGCGAGACGCAACACATTGCGGTCCCGCTCTTCCTGCGATGTGCCGACAGAAGTACTGGCACCTCGCTGTGAAGTGGTGTCAATAGGAGAACCGAACACCACTGTTAGCGCCCGAGTCTCGCGACCTCGAGCGCCTTCGCTTCGGCGATGGTTCATCTGATTCATCAGATGAACCAAAGATGCTACGACGCATAGCATCATCCATGCCACGCTTGGCAGGCGGCTTAGATTCGATCGCCGTCGATACGGATTCGTCTTCCGTATCAGGAGAGTATGAGACACCGAGCTCATACTCTGTGAAGACATGAGTGTCTTCATGACTAGCGCCTGCATCACCAAATGACACAGGCTGAGTCACTTCAGCAACCGATGAGACATCAGTTGCTGTGGTTTCTGCTTCGGCGTCCGCACAGAGACGTGCGGACGCGCTCTCGGCGGCCTTGCTCGCGCATCGCATGGGCTTGTTAACCATGCGATGAATTGTTGGAAAGTGGACTCGAACCAACAAGTGCAACCCCTGTCCCAAATGATTCGGGACGAGTATCCATTTAGTCAATCAGTCACTAAAGTGACTGATGGTTAAGGGGGGGGTGATGTAACGGGGTGAATCGTTACATAACAATTTATAAGAAACTGTTAATAGAATATAACTATAAGAGTTATATTCTCAGAATATTATCATAAGGACAAATATTCTGTTGCACTTACGAGTAGTTCCTAATTGGTTGATATAGGCCATTATATCAACCAACGAAGACGCGCCACGACAGACGCACGCAATGAGTGGTGAGCAGATAACTGATTTACACATTTGTATTTAGACATAGTTAGATGAAGATAAATAGTGATTTATTGCAGACATTAACTATTATAAATACAGTTCTACTTTTTACTTTAACCAAGTACTCGCTTCTTCTTACCGTCTTCCTCTGCACGTACGAGTGTACGTGAAGTCACGAGGCACCGCCTTATTCTGTCATCAGAATAAGTAGCTTGTACTGTCATCAGTACAAGCTTCAGGGTGCCCCGTTACAGAGTGCCCCAAACAGATAATATGGCTTTGCAGCCTGCTGGTTTGCTCGATAGAAATTTAAAAATGATTCTCGAAATTGCCCACACCTTGATATCGCGGGACTGCCTCCAATTGGTCGACGTGAAGTGCGGGGTGTGCTATGAACGCAATTTATGAAGTTTTTTTGGGGTTTGTGGTAGCCACTTAGCGCGATAGCCCCGGGACAAAAATGGGGTGATAATGACCAAGGGTCGGAGTTGGACGAATATGCGTCATCCGCTACATCATCCTCGTAGGTTTAAAATCAGGTGTTTTGCTAGAATTAGAATCTCCCTACTACTTATTGGCAGAAGACAGTCATTGAGGTCTAGAATCACGACGTTGGCAAGAGTTTCTTGTCAGAATTAGATCGTTCCGAGTGACAAAATAAGCGGCGACTTTGCAAAGGGCTGAAGAAAATAGGATGCATCAACGGAGTGGACAGACCTCAGCAGATTTGAAAAAGGGCTGCCAAGAGACAACCAATAAAGTATCACAGCAGCTCAATAAAGTCAATTGAGTCGATAAAAGCAACATTTTTCAGCTGCTCCATACTTAATACCCTTGCGGCCTGACTGGCAGGGTGATGATGTTGTCATGAACACAGAGTCGAGATGAGGTGGTGAAGTTACAGTTGCTTGGAGCGTACATCTAAATGGACTTTGGACGATATACCGACGAACAAGTAGCCGTGTGTGATAAGTTAGGCTGACCTGCAGGATTTTGAGGACTAACTTTTCAATGTGCAGTCGCATTACTACGGACACAGAGGGAACACGGACTACGAACGCGGTGTTTCAAGTAGAAAGAGTGTGTATTCAGGCTAAGATCCGATCAACAACCTGAATACGAGAGGTCGTCTGCTCCACACAACAAATGTCTTGTAGTCCACGCATACACATGCAATGTAGACCACCTTGGTCTCATCTTTTTTGATCGCAGTTCAAGACCCACATCGAGAGCGGGAAACTTGCAACACTAACAGCTCTTTGTAGCATATGAGGAATCTGAGGACTACTCTGCTCAGCCGTCGGGGAAACACTTTGCAGCATAAAACAGATCCTGGAGCTGTGCGGTAGCAAGACAAAGTTGCGAGATATGGCTGTACAGGTGAAAGAATTGCCGACTCAACACAAGCATGAGATACGGAGGCGCTTCCACAGGAAGCTCGTCAGGAGCATTTATTGTGGATGTGACAGCCACATTGCTACAGCTTTAACTCGCACAATTGACAAACAGGAACCCGACCAAGTCAAGACAAGCCGATCGGTGAGCTGAGATCTCACACCAATGCCTGGATAGGATGTGAGCTGCGGGTCCACGAGGTAGCCGAAGCGGGAGGAAGAGTGAGTTTGACTGCAGTCACGCTTGACACGAGGCGCGGACGAATTTCCACTTAGATAGCAGATCGGCGCAAACTTACGGGAACAGGAGATCAAAAGGTGCGATGATGATCAGTAGCGGTGCAAATATCAACGTCACGGATGCATGTCGCCAATTGCTGCAAGCCAAGGAAGCATTGATGATGTGACGCAGAACAACTGGCTCGGCTACCGCCATGACGAAGCTCACACCATTGCAAAGCAAGCGAGCAGGATTCTGCCACGGCTATAGCCTGGTATCGCAGTGGAGGTGACGAAAACATGCGACAAGATTGAATCTGTCAGTGTTCGAGCAAACTTTATTTCTACCTTGTGTTTCATGTACCTCTCTTTGCAGGGCATTGTTGTGTTGTGTGTGGTCTGCACCACGGTGCCTAAACGACACATCGAAATGGCTCACGCTTCACCAAACAGTAACGACATGAGACGTACAGTTCCATAAACTGTCGTCGACTTGATCTCGATGTCGTCCATGACCTGATCACAGAAAGTAGTCGGGCGTCCGGCGCGATACGTGGGGCTCTCCACGCCGAGGAGCCGGGTCGAACTGTAAGCTGTAAGGCATCACACGATAAACACAATACCGTCAGCATCAAGTAAAGCTCCAAGCTCTCGAGCGTAAACAAGAACCAGCTAGCCACGTACAATGTGTACTGCATCTGTTCATCCACCTCCATGATGGCAGCCTCATTGCCACAGCGGTAGCAGTAGTTGGGCGCACTAAAGATCGTCACGACATTGCACTTGTGTGACCAGTTGTAGCCTTCCATGACCAATTGATGCGCTCTCGCAATGAGCGTTAGTCCATTCGCATGGTTAAATTGGTCGGAAATGTCCTGACCAAAAGTATACCCCGCCCCTCGAGGCGAGATGCCCCACCCCGACCGATCGTCCGGGTCCGACCAGAGCAAGTCGCACATGGCACCTTCATGCGGCACTTCCTGCAATCGGTCAAAGCCGCGGATATAGTCGAGCGTATCAATGGACGGCGACAGGCCACCATGGAGGCAAAAGATCTGGTTCTCGACCACGGCCGTGAGCGGGAGGTAGTCAAAGACGTCTGTAAAGTAGCGCCAGACATTTGGGCTGCCATATTTGCGCAGACACTCGTCGTAGAAGCCGTAGACTTGCGTAATCTGCCGGCTCTCGTGGTTGCCCCGGAGAATGAAAATGCGGTCCTTGTACCGCACTTTCAGACACACGAGCAGCGTCACGGTCTCCACGGAATAGTAGCCTCGATCGACATAGTCCCCCATAAATAGATAGTTCGTGTCCGGCGCGTGGCCGCCAATGCGGAAGAGCTCCATGAGGTCGTGGAACTGGCCGTGCACGTCGCCGCAGACGGTCACGGGACAGCGCACGGGCTGCACGTTCGACTCCTGCACGAGCACTTCCTTGGCCTTCGCACACAGCTGCATCACCTCGTTCTCAGTCAGCGGGTTACAGCCCAGCAGCTTGTCGCACCAGGCGTCCAGCGTGTCAATCGACAACTCGAACGGCGTCGAGCTCATGGCGACGATAGCGACCAAGAGCTCCTAAAAATCCTTCCCCTGGGTCAGGCTCAAAACACAACAACGTTTTGGTGTGGCACGAGTGTGGTCGAGACCTTGCTTTTCATTGGCGAGGATGGCACAACAGCTTCAACGTGGGGGAGGTCTAAAACGTGGTGGTAAACGAGACGGAGGAAGCTACGAACGACTCTAAGCGAGGGGCGTCTGTTTCTCGAGCGATAGCAGAGCGTTCTCTATTCTCCGCGTAATGGCCGAGTAGAGCGCTTTTTCACGCTCTTGCGTTTCCCATGGATCGGCGCCTTCCACGCGGTCGTTCTCGAACTGCGCGAACAGGTCATCAAATGACAGCGGCTCGCCCACGATGATGCCCAATTCAAGATGCGTCCGAGGGAAGACACGGATGAGACAGTTGTTCTCGTCTTGCGGCATGAGCTGCTCCATGTTGTAATGATACACCGGCACGACAATCGGTCGCTTCGTCGCACGCGCGATGAGCTTGCCCACGCCCCACTTCAGCCGCCCAATCTCCTCTCGACGCGGACTTGGTCGACCACCGAGCGCTATCAAGAGTTACCAGATGTTGCAATAGACTTAGTAAGCATGCTGACCACTCTCAACGCCATGAAGATCGACTCACCTTCGTGCTGTACGATCTTTCCTTCAGGAAAAATGTGGACCCACGCCCCCTTCTCCACCTTGTCAAAGATCGCGTGGACCATCTATTCACACCGTCAAGAGGGCAAGATGTAAAGTGCCACGTACACAATTGGCTGTTCCAGCCACAAAGCCAGACTACAAACAAGCGCACCTCGTGATCGATCCCAGCGCCGCGTTTCACTGGCAGGGTCTTGGCACCAAAGAACACGGCTGATACCAATTTACCCTTCTCATAACAGTACTCCTGACTACAGCAGCAACAGCGACAGCGACATCAAGCACAAAACAACAAAACCCACCAAGACCGTCAACTCCAGCACCTCCACGAGCTTCAGCATCCCATCTCTTCTCCTCTTACCTCGCCAAGCTCCAGCGTCCTGTCCATGGCCACGCGTACCTCCACGGCATCATACTGCACCCAACACGTAACTCAGCTCTTCACGTTCCTTTCTACCTCCTCAATGAAACAGAAAAGCAGCTCCGTACTTGGCAAACACAGCTGGATCGTCTACGGTGGCCGAGTGATTCGACACAGTAATAAGAGCGGTCCCCTTCGGCCGCTTCTCAAGCTGCTCAACCAGATGCGATACGCCCTCCACCTTCGTCCGGTTCAACACCTGCAGACAGACTTTCGAGATGAGCGTCGCAGCGCCAAAGAGCGGGACACGCGCGACGTTGTGTAGCCACTCGGGGAAGATCTCGGCTCGTCGGCCACCGTCGTACTTGCCGTCTCCCAGATCCGCGACTGGCGCGTCTAGATACAGCGCTATGGATCCCATGGTGAAGGAGACGGCGCCGACTTTCGACAACGTGCCTAGGGACACGAAGCGCACGGGGCGGGAGCTCCTCGTCGCCCGTCGCAACATTTGTCTAGTGGTGTGGGCTCGGGTTTTGTGGATGTTTTGTGACGGTAATGAAAGTATGTGATTGGTCGAAATCAAGAGATGGACCTATTTTGGATTAAACCGTTTCGACTTGCGAAGGAGATTGTAGTTTAAGCGTTTTCAATGTAGGGTTGTAAAAGCTGACTGATAGCTTGCGGTACGGAACTGAAGTTGCGGTAAGGGCTGACTTTATCATATCGTGGACGAGCTTATGTTGATGAGTGTCCTTCCGATGCAGTTCATTTGCCGGATCTTATTCCCGCGAATGACAGAAAATAGTACCAAGTTTGTGATCCGGCAGGTACAAAGCGAAAGGCAAACCGAACGATGTCAGACATTGCGGTACACCATCGGTGGACAACAAGTGAGACTGTGTCGTGGGCTCGCAGCTTGGATTGATTTTTGTGTCGATCGATCTGATCTACAAAAGCACTCTGGCGATATCGAATAATCTTGATTTTATCCAGGAATAAACTACTTACATGTGCACAAATGTTGATAATTACTCTGCATTCTCAGTTAGGTTGACATAAAATTGACAGAAAGTCGATGACGTTACATTGGTGCTTTACATGGTCTCATCTGGTTAAACCTCTCAAAAAAGGTAACAGCGATGAAGTGAAGTCGCACGGGCAACAGACCTCTACTTTGATATTGGCGCTTCTTATAGCATACCTTCACCCGATCTGCTTCTTCCACCGGCCCTATAATCGATCACTTTCATGATCCTTTACCTCATGCGCATTATAACGCGAGAGCAAGAAGGTCAGCAATCGACTCGCGCGAACAAAAATGTGTGCGAGTGAGGCCGATCATGTGAGTTACACGCACAAATCTTATTTGCTGGCAGTTCAATTACGGAGCTTCGACCAATGCCCTGCTTGAAATCAAGCTGAACACAGCGGTCATACTCGTAAAAGCTTTAACGAACGCATGATGTCCAGAACGTGCTGACATCACTCGGAGTCATCAAAAGATTACTCGGGTTTTAATGCAAAATGTCCTGCTGTGTGACTTTGAATCATGAGTTTGTGAGATCCAAAAGTCCAAAAAATAGCTGTTGTTGTGGCAGGTGCCAAGACTTTACACTAAATGTAACGAGTCGTCCGACATCAGGAATAGTGATTTCCTGCATCCACACACACAGCAAACTGTGAGTGAGTATTGCTATCAAAGTCTTGCCGCGCGCGGGTGTAACGCAATGCACATCATGTATCAACCGACGAGCTAGGTTCGAAAACACGCTTCTGCAGTGACTTATCATGCGTGCTTGCGTTCGCTCTCTAAGAAAAAAAGAGCGGTTTCTGTCGACGACGTGGATTTCGATTCAGATAACCTGAATCAGCAATGTATTTATGGTTTTGGGATGATAGAGTACATGATGAAGCATTGCAGCAACCAACAAGGACATTTCGATTGTACGACGCCGGGCATCGCAAGTTTTCATCCATGGGTTGCCACGCGATTACGAGTCGCATTTCAAGTCAGCTGGCTCATTTGATGTTCAGCAAAGATGCGATGCTCAATGTGTTGACCTTATGTTTCTCCCACGGTTGTGCTTCTGGCTGGACGTACGAGTAAGATTGTTTACCGAGCTCTTTGTAGCGTGTTGATTTTCCATAAATCATTGTTGTGCTGCACAAACTCTAGAATGAGGCGTCATCAGTGTGTATAAGCTAGTCGTCACGTGTGTTCGTGACAGCAATAGTTGGTGGGCACAGTCACGATGTATCGGAAAGGTAAAGGCTGAGAAGCGAACTTTATCCGACTGAGAGAGAATGTCATCGCCATCACGAAAACGAAGCAAGGCAGTCGAATCTTCATCATGAAAAAACTAGATACCATTGACAGTCTGTTGGTTGCTATTCGCTTGCCTACTATCGTCAGTACAGCACACGTACGACCGTGCGCGAGGCTTCATGGGCATTTTCATGCGATGATAAGAATGGTGTCTGCATTTGATGTCACTCTGAGCAAATGCGGAGGTCTCTCCATCAGCCTAGCAACACATCATTTGCGATTGCCAGTCTGGATGTTCACTTGAGAACTGTTCCTTAGGGCCCGAAGCTGAGGGGTTGGGATAATAACTTGCTAGCGCAACTTGCAAGGTGGGCATTCAGCGCTACTGTATCCTGCAAGCCGTAGTGAGTTCTCTTGCTCAGACGAGCAGCCATAAGTTGTCACTCAACCTTTTATCTTGTCAGTATCCACATTGTCAAAACGACGGTATCAGAATTGTAGACTAATCCAGCAGCATCAAACAGTGCAGCATAGTGACTGCTATCTGCTCTCCATGTCTTGCATGCCACCATTAGTATACTGGCAGGTCTGTCGATTGCCGGGCAAGTTGCTGTTCAAGCGACAGCGGCCGCCCTGCGTGGTGAGTGCAATCCCGGATATAACGCAATGTAAACTCTTCGTGGATGCACACAAGCGACGCGATGCTCTGAAATGCAAGCCGTTGTGCTCTGATGGGCATTGAACGAACATATACGTGGTATCAATTCTCACCATGCACATTACATTCGCCCCTGTGGATAGCTGTAAACAATCGGTACCTCCAAAGCTCTTGTAAAAAAACAACCTACAGGAGAAGGTGACGGAAAAGCTTCTATGATGAAGCAAAGGTCTAGTGATACAGCCAGTCCACTGTAAATTACGAAACCGGAAGCAAACACTCGTAAACATGATTCGAGTAGTGGGACCTGAAGCGCTTCTGCGGAGGCCGTCAACATGCTGCTGCTGCATAATTCACAGATGACGAAGATCCTGGCCGTCTTATTGTGATCGTTTAGTATCGGACATTCGATCTTTCTTTCGTACAGTGGACTATGGTAGATGCACTCTTGCTCATGTTTTCGACCCGGCGGAGACCGATGAGTTTAGCATTGCGACGTTCTACACGGCATCTGATCATTCTCTACACGAAAAAACAAGCACAGGAAGATAAGTGCATCAGTATGCACCTTGAATATGGTGTCGACTATCACATTCAGCTCTTTCTCGCCTCGTACTGTCAGCAGTGGTCTTGATCAGCACAACGCTGGGTCCATTACGCACAGGTCAAGCCATTAGCAGCCCCATGTCCTGGGATCCCGGTCGACGCGAAGTAAGCGACCTGATACCGTCTGGCAGAAACGATCGCTTCGTGAGGCAGGTACCATATTCATGATCGTATATGAAAGCGACCACTGCAGATAGGACAAAGTCTCGCCGACCAACGTGAAAGGAGCAGATACTTGGTAAAACTCCATCAATTTCCAGGAACAGCTACAGGTTGGCAAATCGTCATGAACAGCCTTGGGATTGGACACCTGCATCCAGCAAACAAGTTGATCCCGCAAAAAACTTACCGTGTACATTCGTGTGTAGCCATTGTCGGAGCAGCAGCTCGATTGTCCCTCGTCCACATAGTCGATCTCTTCGCCGAACAAACAATGTCGTTGCGATGATTGCAACAATCCACATTTGATCACACGCAAACACACACTATCCCATATCCCAGCGCTCTACATATCGTATCGCGCGTAGTCGAGCACTTGAGATTATGGTCGTCTCCATTGCCCCATCGCTCGCATGGACAGAAATGCACTCACTAAAGTCACTGCAATTGACCACGCACAACGATTGACGTTTGCAGAAAGTATCCCTTACACTGTCCATCGAGTATCCAGCTCACAACGAACCCAAACTAATGCAGCCACAATCTTGTCAGAGTCGACAGACAGATGGACAAACGGACGGACGGCATCGACAGTCGGCCGCACAATCATCATTGTCGTCCGTTTTCTGCACTCAACAAGCCGCTCACTTTGCTTGCTCGTCGTACACTTTATCACCCTCCGCTTGTCCGACCAAACCCGCCGCCCCTTCCTCCGACAAATAATAAGCCACCACCCACTCACCTCCCCCGAGTTCCCACCCGTACTTTGCGTTTCCAGCGCCCATCAACGAACCGCCCGCACTCCCTCTTTTGCCCCGTCCCGGACCCGCTCCCATGGCCTCCTTTGCCTATCGTCGTGCCTCCCAACGCCTCGCTATCGGCCTCGGCGCGGGTCTCGTCGGCGCCACCGGTCTCTCCGGCGCTGCCATCGTGTCAGCCAAAGAACAACCGCGTCTCGTAGCGCCCATTACGTGCGAGGACGGCACGACCGTCGTCCCATACGAGACGCCGTCCCGGGCCGAGCAGCTCAAGCGCTTGCAGACGGAGCAGTTTGACGTCCTGATCATTGGCGGTGGTGCCACTGGCTCTGGCTGTGCGCTCGACGCTGCTACGCGCGGTTTAAACACGGCGGTCGTCGAGGCCAGTGACTTTGCAGCCGGGACATCTGGACGCTCGACAAAGCTCATCCATGGCGGTATCCGGTATTTAGAAACGGCGTTTCTAAAACTGGATTACGCAGCGTTTAAGCTCGTGAACGAAGCGCTGGAAGAACGTGCTTTTTTTCTATCGGCGGCCCCGTACATGAACCGACCGTTACCGATCATGATTCCCATTTACAAATGGTGGGAAGTCCCTTACATGTGGATCGGGGCCAAAGCTTATGACGTTGTCGCGGGGAGCCAACGATTCGTACCTAGTAGTTACTACATCAATGCCGACGAGGCCATGTTCCAGTTCCCCATGCTCCGTAAAGACGGACTCAAGGGCGCGATCGTCTATTATGACGGACAGATGAACGATACGCGGATGAACGTGTCGATTGCGCTCACGGCGACTCAAAATGGCGCGACCGTGGCGAATTACGTGAAAGTGGTGCAGCTGCTTAAGGACGAGGAGGGGAAAGTGCGTGGGGCGCGTGTCCAGAACGCTTTGACGGGCGACGAGTGGGACGTCAAGGCCCATGCGGTTGTGAATGCGACCGGGCCCTTCACGGACTCGATCCGTCTGATGGACGACCCCAAGAAGGACAAGATTTGTGTCCCTGCTGCTGGTGTGCACACGGTTCTTCCGGATCACTTTAGCCCCAACCGAATGGGACTCATCGTGCCCAAGACGAGCGATGGCCGTGTGCTGTTTTTCCTGCCGTGGGAGAACGGAACGCTTGCCGGCACGACGGACTCGCAGTCGGACATTACGATGCTGCCATCGCCCACGAAGTCCGAGGTGGACTTTATCATTGACGAGGCCAATCGCTACCTTGCCAAGGATGTCACGCGCAACGACATCAAGTCGGCGTGGTCGGGTATCCGCCCGCTTGTGAAAGACCCGCGTCACACGAATGGCTCGACAGCCGCGATCTCGCGCGAGCACGTTGTGGAAGTCTCGGAGTCCAACATGGTGACGATTGCTGGCGGGAAGTGGACGACGTACCGTCGCATGGCTCAGGACGCGATTGACCAGTTGGTGGCGACTGTCCCGGAGATAAGGAAGAAGGCTTTGCCTTGCAAGACGAAGGACGTTGGTATGATTGGTGCCGACCGCATTGGTGAAGTGTGCAACAAGAAGTTTGACAAGATTACAGTCACGCTGCGTGAGAACTACAACCTTGACAAGGACGTTGCAGAGCACCTTATGCGCAACTACGGCACTCGTGCACTGCAGGTGGCTGCAATTGAGCAGGCCGGTTTCCTGGACCGCAAGCCGAGCGACCACCCGCGTCGATTGCACCCGAAGTACCCGTACCTGGAGGCAGAGGTTGTGTTTGCTGTTCGACAGGAGTATGCGCAGAAAGCGACCGACATTCTAGGTCGTCGCATGCGGCTAGCTTTCATCGACAGCGGTGTGGGCAAGGAGTTGATGCCGCGCGTGGTGTACATGATGAGTCAGCTGCTCGGGTGGTCCAAGGCTCGTCAAGAGCAGGAGTTGGCCGAGTGCAAGGAATACCTGGAAACTATGCACAGCTAAGTCTCCTGCCACGCAGCAACAGGAAGGACTTTCGGTGCTGCTACGACTACGAATCTGGTTATCGAAAGCCAGCCAGAAGAAACGATGCGCAGAGTGTGCGCTGCAATCGAAAGCGCGGTCCAGGATGAAGTGGTCATGTCGATTCGATTTCGTAAGGTTCGCGTTGCATTGAATACCGTCCGTCAATGAGGCACTTTCGTCGCACCTTCCGACTGTTTCGATCCTAAAGCTACTGACATCTCAGGAGACGAGTAAGAAGCCGATGCGGGCGTCCGTAGATTGTCACGTTAGGTCGTAGGTTGCACGTTGAAGGTTGGTCCCGGACCGTTGTGGTCATACAATGTTGCTGAGGTTTTTACCACCAATGCTCGACTCGAGCGGTGCCAGTTCGTCTCGCTCATTGGTCAAAAGCACAAAAACCTCGGTCTAGAAGCGCAATATCGTGAACCGCTCTGCGCCATCCATTCCCCGCCCCGACCTCCCCCTCGTTCCTCCGCCGCGATCATTATTCATTCTGCGGAGAAGAAGAAGGTACGCTCGACGTCACTCGCACGCCACTGTCGCTGCCTGCCCACCCGCTTTGCTCACGTGTCTGTTGTGTCCCTTTTGCTGCTTTATAGTCAACTCAAGAATGGGCAAGGAAAAAGTCCACATTTCGCTGGTCGTGATCGGCCACGTCGACGCCGGCAAGTCGACGACCACGGGCCACTTGATCTACAAGTGCGGTGGCATTGACAAGCGTACGATTGAAAAGTTCGAGAAGGAAGCTGCTGAGCTGGGCAAGACGTCGTTCAAGTACGCGTGGGTGCTGGACAACCTGAAGGCCGAGCGTGAACGTGGTATCACGATTGACATTGCGCTGTGGAAGTTCGAGTCGCCCAAGTTCTTCTTCACGGTCATTGACGCCCCTGGTCACCGTGACTTTATTAAGAACATGATTACGGGCACGTCCCAGGCTGATTGCGCCATCTTGGTGGTGGCTTCGGGTGTGGGTGAGTTTGAAGCTGGTATCTCGAAGGAGGGTCAGACGCGCGAGCACGCACTGCTGGCCTTTACGCTTGGCGTGAAGCAGATGGTGGTGGCTATCAACAAGATGGACGACTCGTCTGTCATGTACGGCCAGGCCCGTTACGAGGAGATCAAGTCGGAAGTGACGACGTACTTGAAGAAGGTTGGCTACAAACCTGCCAAGATTCCGTTCGTGCCTATTTCTGGATGGGAGGGCGACAACATGATTGAGCGCTCGCCCAACATGGCGTGGTACAAGGGCCCATACCTTCTTGAGGCGCTTGACAACCTGAACCCGCCCAAGCGTCCATCGGACAAGCCGCTTCGTCTGCCTCTCCAGGACGTCTACAAGATTGGCGGTATTGGCACGGTACCAGTGGGACGTGTGGAGACTGGTGTCATCAAGCCTGGCATGGTCGCTACGTTTGGCCCTGTGGGTCTGTCGACGGAAGTCAAGTCTGTCGAGATGCACCACGAATCTCTGCCGGAAGCTCTTCCTGGTGACAACGTTGGTTTCAACGTGAAGAACGTGTCGGTGAAGGAACTGCGTCGTGGTTTCGTTGCTTCGGACTCGAAGAACGACCCTGCTAAGGGAACCCAGGACTTTACCGCCCAGGTGATCGTGCTGAACCACCCTGGTCAGATTGGCAACGGTTACTCGCCGGTGCTTGACTGCCACACGGCCCACGTTGCATGCAAGTTCAAAGAGATCACGGAGAAGATGGACCGTCGTTCGGGCAAGGTGCTCGAGACGGCCCCCAAGTTTGTCAAGTCTGGCGATGCGTGCATGGTCATCCTTGAGCCCTCGAAGCCCATGACTGTTGAGTCGTTTGCCGAGTACCCTCCTCTGGGTCGTTTCGCTGTGCGTGACATGCGTCAGACGGTTGCTGTGGGTGTCATCAAGTCGGTGAACAAGAAGGAGGCTTCGGCCAAGGGTGGTGCCAAGAAGAAATAAGCTATTGACAAGTCACTTGGGACTGGGTCGAAGGTTTGCTTGCGGATCGTCCTATTCTTTTGTCAAGCATCTTCTTGTCGGATACTGTCGTCTCGTTTGGTGCGCGGATGTGTGTCGCGTGACGGCAGGTGTCTTCTGCAGATCGAATAACTACCAGAAAAATAGAAAGGCTTTGTTGCTCTCTCTCGTAAAGCAGCCAAGAGGTTTTCGAATATCATGTAGACTCAATTCTCCGTCGTTGTATGCCCATCGGATGTGTGCCGTACATGCTTAACTCGTTTGCAACGGGCATCTCTGCTGGCTTCGTCGGAACGGCATTGATCTTTTAGTTTCTCGCTTCGATGAGTGCCAGTTTTCCCGATAATTTTGACATGGCTCGAGATAGACACTGCTTGATCAGGCGTTCCTGTAGAGCGATGATCGCTTACAGCGGATGAGTTGATGAAGACAAGATGAGACGACTTCGTTCGACTAGCGAAATACGTTGCCCCCACTAGTAGCGTAATGAAACTTATCCAGTGATTGTGCGAGTTATGATGTCGATACTCACGCTGCGACTACAGAGTTGGCGCGGGTTGTCTATGGAACAAGCATTTGCCTGATTGAGCAACAATGAGCTTCGTCTTGCCATACAAGACCATCCCCGAACATCAAGATTGGGAGAAGTCGATTCCAAGGATTTGTTCTTTCGTGAGAGATCGTAGCCTTGCTAACAACTTACCTGATAAGTTGTTAGCAAAACGGTGGTCTACGTAGAAGAAGTAACGTATCAGCAGAGTTTTGCTTCTATCAAGGTTCCCCATCCGACGCTTCTACTAACAGCATATACGGGCGATGCGCAAGGTGCAATCCGAGACAGCCTCCATTCGGAGCGCCGATAAGATCCTGAGTACATTTATCGATACGACGATAACTCCAACGATCTTCGCAGAGTGATTACGTGCAGCCCATTCATATGCCAAGCTGTGAGTGGAGAAATAGTGGGTCGCATCACCCCCAATGTCGAGAAGAAGTCGCTGTGGTCGTATCTCGTACGAATAATTGCAAAGGTTTCTCAGCTCACGTCATTTCCTTTAACCATTTGCACCAGATTCTAGCCCAGACATGGCTGCAGCCTAGCTTTTTTGTATCTGCTATCGCGTTCCTTCGTGATTGTCACGACCGACCCAATTTGTACACATAACTATCTGCTACACATGCAATCACTCGGTGCAACAAGTTTATTCTGATGTTGAATGTCCATAACCTCTGCACCGCCAGCACGTCAAAGCTGACACGTGACTCCCGGAATCAAAATGCCATCTGACCGTCCCAAGTCAAGGAGTAGGTCACTTCCTGCGATGAAGTAGCAGTAGCACGTGCGGCTTTTGGTGTCGATGGCGTGATGGGCACGCGAAACGCGCTGACACCAGCAATACAGGCGACGACCCCCAAAGGCCAACGATGGTGTACGGACTATTGTAATCGATCGAATCGCGCAAAACTACGACGGCTTCACCAAGTTGTGCGTTGGAGATTGTAGATTGATTTTGCTCGCATTTTAGAGTCTCTCGACATCCGTTCTAATGGCATCAATGAGTCAAAGCTAATGACAAGAGCCCCAAGTTTCCATAGTCGATGAAACCGAACATCGATCGACGTTCGTCAATAAGAACAATCGAAAAACAGCATCGACAATGTAGTCAGAGAGACCACAGCATTCAGTTGTTATTCAAAACGAACGTCTACGCTTCAAGTAAGGGCGACCACCCAACGAACACGTGTTCAGTACTCGCGATAGTACGTCGCTCTCGCTCTCTCTACAAATCCAATATGACTAGATGCCAGAGTGTCAGTGTGGCTTTCAGATCAGCAATAGGGTCTCACTCCTGCTTATCCATGAAAAGCGCAACGAATCGCTGTTCGCTCGGAGCATTCACGATTGGGCTTCTCCTTCTGCTTGGCCTCATCGTTGCATGTCTCGACTTGAAACTCACTTGGAGCTCAGAAGGTCCCTCATCGAAGCCCGCGTTCCACGGCGTCAGGCACCTTGCTCACAATGAGACGGGCCATGCTTACAATAATGAAACGGGCATTGACGGCCCAAAGCTGCAATTCGTCAAGACGCTCCACCACATTGCACAGAACACGTCTCAGCCACGTGGCATTGTGATGCCAGTGTACGAACAGATTGTCAAAGTCGCTGCGTCATTGATTCTGGAACTTCGAACCATGGGCGTCGATGATCCCATTGAGATGCCGTATTGCGGAGACGTCTCCCCTCAATCACAGTCGCTGTTGTTGCAAAAGGCAGCGCTGGGGTCCATTCGGTTCTATGACGTTTGTGACTTGGCTGCATCAGCGACAGTCGAGGGAAATGCATCCCAGAAAGTCTTTTGTCCGAACGTTACATCCTGCCATACCAAGTTCCGGAATTTCGATCTCAAGGTCGTGTCCGTCGTGTTCTCGAAATTCGAGGAAATTATGATGGTTGATGCCGATACGGCGTTCTTTATCAACCCGACGGTGCTATGGGACTCGGCAAAGTACCAATCTACGGGCACGTTGCTCATGAACGATCGCCATGCGCACGAGATCTACTTTATGGCCCAACGCGTTCGCGGGCAGGCTAATTTATCGTATCAGCATCTGTATATGTCAACGTTCGATCCTGTCCCGTTCCGGTTCATCCCGACGCTTGAGCGTGAGAAAGCTACTGTGCAGAACCCCGTTCCGGTGACGCTCCTTTTTGAACCGAGTGACTATTTGCTTACTAGTCACTCGTGGAATCTTCGCACGGGTCATCAGGTGGACTCGTCCCTACTGTTCTGGAACAAGAAGAAACAACCACGAGCTACTGCGATTCTGGCATCTTTTAAAGCACTTTGTGATGTTGGCCCGCCCCCGTCTTATGGTGATAAGGAGTTGTACTTCTACGCTGCAGAGATGGCAGAAACGCAATACTCATTTTCAGACCACACGATCAGTGGGGTTGGAACTTATTACAACGACCACGGCGAAGGGAAGTCGACTCTCTGTGGTGATATGGCGCAGCCCTTTCCGATCAAACAGGACCGCATTGAGGATGTGCCGCTCTTTTACCTCAATAGTGATCGCGCCTTACGCTATAAGCCAGCAGTGGAAGGTGTGTACTATGTGAAGGCACGTATGGCGGACGTGTACCTAGGACCTTATGGCAAGCGTCGAATCGATTGTCCTTTTAACATCACCGCGGCCAAGTTCTCCGAGGCCGAAACTCGACATTTGAGCGGCCGACAGCGTCTGCATGAATTTGTGGTTGCTTGGTGGGAAATCGCCCAATCTGGTGGAAAGGATGTTATCCATAATTCGACGGCTACTTCCATCGACGGCATGGTGGACGAGCAGATGGAAGCGATGAGGAAGGACTATCAGCACGTCAAGGTTCCAAGTGTATCATGGACAGAGGTGGACAAGTGATGTTCGTGTAGTATGTTGACTAATTCGGGAGAAGTTGATGATGTACGTGTGAGCTATATCAAACTCTCACTTATTAGGACGGTCTGGAACACGGGAACGAGTAGAATGTTGAAAAACTACGTAACGAAGTCGCTCGAACGTGTTGCTGTTACTCGCCATCGGTATGCTTGACCTCCATTTGAACTTGTCAGACCTTCATCAAGTTGCGCTAACAAATGCAGTTCACACTGAACCGCTCTTGCTTATAGTCCAGTCTTTCAGTTGCCTGTTACATTTGCTGTCGATGGTTTCTATCTTCTAAACTTGCGTACACGCATACAAAGTAAAAAGCTGTGGTGGAATTTGCTTATCACACGCCTTGGTCTTGTTTCCTATTGTTGTGGAGCGCAAACTACTTGGTGTGAAGCCTGTACTAAGTTCAGATGAACATGTAAGCGACGCAGGAAGTCGCAAAGCAAACCGGAAATCGACAGATGCTTGACCAGTCGTACAGCAGATCACAATGTTTTACGTTGGTTTTGGATATCCAGATCAATAGGTAGAAAGCAGCCTCTGATGCACAGATATGGTGCATTGAGGAGCTTGAGCAATGTCACGACATCGAGGCCGTCTATTTTTTGTTAAAGTTTTGACAAGCCTTCCTGTGTATTTTGTTGCGTGTCACTTCACAAGGCGCCAACAAATGTGACGAACGTAAGCCGGCGATCCACTCGCTAAATTCTGTGTTGAACGAGAAGACCTCGGCTTCTATTTGCCGGCTGCTAAACCCTTTCCAACAACTACGTCAGCATTTGGCTCTCATTTGGGCATTTATAATCCAGCCTGAACAGAGGTAGATTGATCATGCTCGACCGAAACTAGATCCGAGTGTCTTCGGCGTCGACCTCGTATGTTGCTTGTTCATTACAAAAGAACGGTACTTCGCTGTAATGCAGGGTCGTTACCGAGGGCATATCAGGGACATGATGACTGCTTTCTGTCTAAATACAAGGTGACATTGCTTAATGTTCACAGCGTGTGTTGCTAGTGGCGTTGTTGCAAATGGCGTATATACCACAAATGCGATGTCTAACGACACCGCACCGATACCGCGGCGATCGTACGCGCATCTCTGAGAGAAAAGTATCATTCAAAACTTTACCCATCAATCGAATGTCCTTCCACCATTTTACAAGCTGAAAATAATGAAAGAAAGCAAGACGAGGAGAAGCAAAAGAGGTTCGAATGCAGATGCTTGTTCATGGCAGCAAGAAATTGTCTAGTAAGGGCAGCCGTACATTTCTGAATGAAGGTAGTCGTTAGCATCATTTAGGCTTTACGCACAATCCTTTGTTCAGCTAGCTAGCCATGTAACGACTTTGATCTAGAGCCATCTATACCAGCGATAGTATACAACAGTTCCCATGTAGACCCGAATTATTTAGCGATTGACCTCTTCAGCTTCAGGTAATTTGCTGTAGTAGCCGTGAGGGCAAATTAAAATGCATCAAAGTGCTGCCATCGACAATGTCGCAATGCAGACTTCAGCGTTAAATCTCAGATTACGCCACCGTGTGAATAAATTAATATAGTCATTACTACAACGAAGGAGGCTGGTACGCTGCCCAGATCATTGTTAGCTTGTGCGGCACCTGCAGAACAAACAGATTCCATTTGTGGCGGTATGCACGTAGAATATGCGAATGAACCACGGATCCGCCATACTGATTACGCGACCGCTCCAACGAGATTCATTGCGTGTCGCCAGCCCTTTCTTCTTACGCGGGCACGACGACGTAAAGATGCGGGCGCACCCACAGGTTGACGCTTCGAATGTTGCTGCGCTAAATGTTGACTGAGACCTTGTATTCATTTCTTGCTTTTCATGGTCTTTTTACTATTGCAAAAAGGTGATGTCGGAAGACACAAACGACCGACATCATTTTATCTGATGAAATGTAATCAAAGGCTGTGCACCATGCCCGATTCCATGAAACCGTCACAACGCGTGTGCGATCGGTTGTACTGTGCAACAGCCCGGAATGCTGACAGAGCCGAGAGGCGTATTTTCGAACTACTACACATCACTCCAAAATCAGAACCGGTGGGTCATAGAATCGATTCTTAAACCGAAGCTCAGACCCTCTGAGGTTTGACGTTCGGCAGATGGCACCAGTGCCCTTGACTATCCAGCAATAACACCACTTTAAGTTTAGAAATCGTGGTAAGCTTGTGCTCAGATTTGATATTAGACTCCGTAAAAGTGCGAGTCATCGTTGTCAGGAAGATTGCAATCGGTGCTGCATCGATGAAGTGATCTAAGGGTCAACGGCGTTGTTGTTCTTTATAAAACATTCGGCATGCAATTAGCGGCGCATATTACAGCAATGCTGCTTCCTTCTTGCGAGTTATGTTCGTAAATCAGCTCATCTATAGAGAACGGAACATGCTTTCTATCGCACACATCTACCAGGAAACAAGCTCGGCCAAAAAGCCAAGCTCTACGAGGTGCGGTGTGCAAAGTTAGTTGCTGCAGTGATGCTACGCTGCAGGAGCAGTTCATAGCACCAGAAGATATGCCGTGCGATTTCTCACTCGTTGTCTGTGGTGATATTCTATCGTACGTTGCTCTTTCTGTTGGCTCGAGCTATGTTGACTGTGTGGAGCTGCAGTAGTGCGCTGCACCAAAACCTTGCTCCACAAAACAACATGCAAACGGCAACACAGGTCAATTCAGACGAAGCGGCGTTACAGTCGATTGTCATGAGCACGTAATTACAGCATCAATCAGAGTCAAAATCTGAGTCAGAATCGTCATATCTATCCACAGGAGGTGGTGGTAATCCTCCGGGTGGTAGAGGAGGCAGTGGCAATCCTCCAGGCGGCAGAAGTGGAGGCAGTATCGGAGGAAGCGGAAGTTGAGCAAGGTCTATTCCTGTCGCCATTGGAGCAGCTGGAACTGCACCCGTTGCGTTCGGAGACGGTCCTTCCGGATCCATGCTGCAGTAGTCAGCAAACATATGCTCAATGAGCTCAAAAATTGCTGCAGTAGATTCACACAGTCACTTACTTGAGAATGTCAGCAGTTACGCCATCCATCATGAGTTTGTGCTGGATCACGCTGTCGGGCATTCCTAGCTTTCGCATCTTGAAGTACCTGCCGCAGAAGCACAGATCGTCGTAAATATAAGTCCAGTACAATACTCGCACACCAAAATAACATTGTCTCGACTCACTTTTCAAATGCAGGATCATCCTTGACTTTCATCACGCCTACGTCTCCAGGAACAGGTGCTCGGTCATCGACATTAAACTCTTCAATATCATCGTCACTAGAGCCCTCGATCTCACTTTCAGGTGGAGCTGGATAGCCAGCTGAAGGTAGTGGAGGTGGTGGTAACGCAGCTGGCAAACCGTCACCAAACAGCGACAGCGGTTCAGTTGTAGACATCTGTGCGCAGAAATATACACAAATATGTACCAACATCTCATCACAATAGAAACACAATGCCTTCGAGTGCCCAAAATGGCAAAAACAAACTACTTCCACGAACCGTAGGCGAAACCAGTGGCAAAGGAGGCGGAAACGGCATTCCGATATTCCCCGACGGTAATTGGTCCGTATGCCGCGGTTCCACTAGCGACGGCGGAGGAGGTGGCAAAGTCCGCACCGAGTCCATCACGTCATCGTCGTCTTCAAAGTCGCTGCTACTTGCACCTTCCACTTCTGTCGGTGGTGGTGGGGCCATTATCGGCAGAATTGGTCCTGACGGTTCCAAGTTTAGCGTCGGTGCGAATCCGCCACTTGGTGACGGTCCCTCTGGGTCCATCGTCAGGATGTTGGTACTCATTCCGTCCATCATTAACTTGTGCTCAATCACTGAATCAGGAATCCCCAGTCGTCGCATGGTAAAGTATTTGGCATACACGGGGTCGTCTTTTAACTTCAACATCGAAGGACCATCACTCTGCACGCTGACCTCGTCAGGAGGAGGAGCATGAAAGTCACCATGAGACGGCGGCATGGAATCCGTCAAAGACAACGCACCAGGTGAAGGAGGACGAGGCACCGTAAGAGCCATTTCGAGTCCGTCCATGGACAAAGGAGGCGGAGGAGGAGGTGGCGGCGGTGGCATCCCGTCCACTACCACTTCAACATGCTCAGCTGGGGGTGGGGGAGGCGGCAAAGGCATCTCATTGGCTGCTGCTGTATCCATCGACGGCAAGTCTTGATCTGAGATACCCAAATCCATCTGGTTCGAGTTCAACTTTCGAACGTCGTCGGAAGTTGCTGCTGCTGCCACTTCTGCATCGGTTACGCTCAGATCTGGAATGCTATTTAACTTGGCTTCCAGAATTGCTAACAAAATCTCGACGCGAGTGACATTATCGGATACGCGGGTGATACGCTCTTCACATTCGTGCGCAAAGTGGTTCAAAAAGCGCGTCGTGTTGGCCACAAAGTTGTTGATCAGCACGAGCGACTTGGCGGCGGGGATCGCAGGCAGTTGCGACAAGTCCATGGGCAGCTCGGCATCATCTTCGGCTGGCGCAGGCGCAAAGGGGACGCGACCAGCGCCGACGATGTCGACATTGGCGCTATGCTCGACGACGCCTAGAAGCAGGGAAGGAACGAACACGAGGTGACGATTCGAAAGTACCATTTCGGACCAATCGGAAGTGAGCTATTTTGCGAGCCCGAAGGGTGCAGCTATTAGTGACTGAGTGCAAGGTGGAATGCCGAGCTTTAAAACCGTACTTATCTGTGGGTGTCTGTGTGTCTGTAAATAACGCAGTTAGGTGTACTTAACATGTGCCAAGTGCGATCTGGCCTGTGGCCCCTTATCGGTATACGGACACATCAACAGTCACTCTTTGGCTATGTCACTATTTTGGAGCACGAACATGATTGGCTTTAAATTGGTCAAAGGCGAATTTGATCACATGAGCAAACGCTGGACGCTCATAGCGTAAGGCCGATCGTGTTGCCCATGTATACTCAACTGTGTTAGTACATACATGGACAGCATCATACTCATTCTTCGATGTCTGCCGTTGTATAGATTTTTGCAACTTCATTCAGTTCTCCGAACTGAATTACTTGTATCAAGGGGCGAGCTCCAGAGCTTGCTCCACCATCTTATTCGCGCAGTTTACTTTTGCACCGCTGGTAGTCAGCCAAAAGCAGGTACGATACATGCCAAGAATAAAGGCCCCTTCCCTTGTTTGCAAAGGAAGAGAGGTTAACTACTTTTAAATTTTTCAGAGCAGCGTGAGCGTTTCATTGGAAAAGTGTAGAGTTCTGCAATCAACTGTCAATGTTTCGAGGGGAAATAAAAGATGGTCCATTTGATCACGAAAAAAAAGTAAAATAAAAGAAATACTTCAGATTATTGGAAAATCGTTCCAGAAAATGAGAAAATAGGAAACACCCCACGTCCTCGAATACACTAATTAACGTGGTACACATATACCGATATTGTGCTTCGATGCAGGGCTTAACCTATTCAAATCACCATTCACACTTAACATGCTGATGCGTCAGACTTATTTCATCAGATGAGCTCTTGATTACAATGACGCGGATATTCACCGTGACAGAGTGAACATATTATACGTCTGCAAATCAACAACGTTACTTTACGCTTACACAGACTTGCAGCGTACAAAAGGAAATAAGGATGGTGCCAGGGAGAAATCATAGTTCGACTGGAGAGGGTGTGTAACGGGGCACCCTGAAGCTTGTACTGGTGACAGTACAAGCTACTTATTCTGATGACAGAATAAGGCGGTGCCTCGTAACTTCACGTACACTCGTACGTGCAGAGGAAGACGGTAAGAAGAAGCGAGTACTTGGTTAAAGTAAAAAGTAGAACTGTATTTAGTATAGTTAATGTCTGCAATAAATCACTATTTATCTTCATCTAACTATGTCTAAATACAAATGTGTAAATCAATTATCTGCTCACCACTCATTGCGTGCGTCTGTCGTGGCGCGTCTTCGTTGGTTGATATAATGGCCTATATCAACCAATTAGGAACTATTCGTAAGTGCTACAGAATATTTGTCCTTATGACAATATTCTGAGAATATAACTCTTATAGTTATATTCTATTAACAATTTCTTATAAATTGTTATGTAACGATTCACCCCGTTACATCACCCCCCTTAACCATCAGTCACTTTAGTGACTGATTGACTAAATGGATACTCGTCCCAAATCATTTGGGACAGGGTTTGCACTTGTTGGTCCGCGTCCACTTTCCAACATCTCATCGCATGGTAAACAAGCCCATGCGATGCGCGAACAAGGCCGCCGAGAGCGCGTCTGCACGTCTCTGTGCGGACGCCGAAGCAGAAACAACAGCAACTGATGTCTCATCGGTTGCTGAAGCGACCCAGCCTGTGTCACTTGGTGATGCAGGCGCTGGTCATGAAGACACTCGTGTCTTCACAGAGTACGAGCTCGGTGTCTCGTACTCTCCTGATACGGATGACGGATCCGTATCGACGGCGATTGAATCTAAGCCGCCTGCCAAGCGTGGCATGGACGATGCTTTGCGTCGCAGCATCTTTGGTTCATCTGATGAATCAGATGAACCATCGCCGAAGCGAAGGCGCTCGAGGTCGCAAGACTCGGGCGCTAATAGTGGTGTCGGTTCTCCTATGGACACCACTTCACAGCGAGGTGCCAGTACTTCTGTCGGCACGTCGCAGGAAGAGCGGGACCGCAATGTGTTGCGTCTCGCTCCAGAAAAGAAGGCATGGATGCCTCCTAAATCCGTCATGGATCACTTGTCGGCGACGACGAGTGATCGTTATCGAACACGATTGTTCGATTCGTCAAGGATCCATCACCTTGACCCCAGCGCGAAAAACTATCGCGCTGAACATGAATTCTTCATCGATGCTTTCTTTAGACATCGATGGTACAGTGGGAATCACAAACGTGATGGTCCCTCACTACTTCAGGCGTGGAACGCCTACATCCATAACCTTGAGGATGTAGGTCGTGACGCTTGGAACGACAAACTTATCAAAGCTCGTGATAAGTTTGAAAAGCGAACCCCGACAGGTGCACGCTACAAGCTGCATCGTCTGTCAAGGGAGAAAGGATTACCCTGCCTCTCTTGGGGAGACTCGTGCCCATGTTGTGTGAACAACTCTGCACGAGCACCTAAGGAGGCTTACCTTCTTACCAGCCCGTGGTGGCGCGTACGTGTCTCTACTGAGATGTACGAAGGGATTGACAACTTGAAATCCCTTTACGACCGTGCCGGGAAGACTTTCTCCGGCGGTCCTTCTGCGGCACAGGATGTGCCGCGTCGTACTGCTTAACCAGACCCAGTACGTCAATCATCAGTTGGGAGCGGGGGTCCCAAGATTCCCAGGACGGGGGATAGCCGCGCCACCGGACGAGATAACTCGTCCGACGTCCGTTCACGTCGCGGTGGTTCAACAGCTGCTCAACTAGATAGCGCTGGCCACCGCGAGAGTCCTCTAATGGAGGTGGAGGAGGAGGAAAGACGCTCTCCACACGATCATGTGGATCGGTGTGTTCCCGAGAGCTTCTTTGATCGCGTAACGCAAGGGTTACGCGACGATCTCGAGCATGAGCGGAATAGGCGTCTCCAAATGGCGGACACTGCCTCGAAGCATCGAGCTGAGTTTGCCTTTGCTCAGCTTGAGAACGAGAGATCTCTGACATCTCTTCGTGACGAGCTAAGGGTAGCTCGTGGGATTGCTGATCGGTCTCGGGATGAGATAGCTGCTCTTCAGACCCTTGTTGATGCCCACGATCGGGAGCACAAGGCTCTCTGCGAGATGCTTGAGCGCAAGGGCGTTCTTCATCGGAAGAAGCAGCGTACTGATGGTACGGCTTAAGCCGACCAACGTAAAACGTGGGATGCGTTCGCATCTTACGTGGTAATTCGATCGTGTATGCATTGCCTAGGCGGTGCAATACACGAAAAGGGCCGATGTACTTGGGTAGTAGTTTACTGCTACCCAAGTTAGTCACTACATGCTTTGGTAGATTAACCGTAGACAGTAGGACAAAGTCACCTTTATTAAATAAAAGAGTGTTTGCCCTTCCATTCTTATCAGCGTTTTGCTTTTGCTTATCCACCGCTTCGGCGATGGAGTCTTGCACAAAACGGACTACCGTTTCACGAGCCAGTATGAACTCATCTGATGACTCGTTAGCTTCAGTGCGCTGTGAGCGCACTGCAGCAACATCAACCTTTTCTTCAGTGAGGGCTTCCGCACTCTCACTGGGATCATCTTCTTCAGTGAGGGCTTCCGCACTCTCACTGGCATCATCTTCTTCGATATCGATGTTATCGATATCGGCATCAAACGCAATGACTTCTTCGTCAGAGCGTGATGAGCGTGAACCAATTCGGTTTTTGCTCGCGCGAGTCCCTCCCCCCCTTAAACCAGAGTTACACTCTAGTAAGGTGGGTACACGCGGATGGCGCAAGCCATTCACGTAAAACGGTGTATGTGTCGTGGACGCATGCACCGAGTTGTTGATGGCAAACTCTACCATTGGCAAGAGCTCATCCAACTCTTAAAGGAGTGTACGTATCCTCGAAGTATCTCTTCAAGGACACGATTGGCACGTTCCGTCTGACCATCAGACTCTGGATGATCAGATGTTGACATCTTCAAGCGCGTTCCGAGTGATTTGAACACGGAACGCCAGAAATCAGCAGTGAATCGTGGATCTCTGTCTGATACGAGTTCACGGGGCAACCGATGAAGTCGGAAGATGGTGTCAATAAAGACACAAGCACAGCCACTTGCCGTGATTGACTCAGGTACAGCCACAAGGTGTACCATTTTGCTGAATCTGTCAACAAATACAAGAATACCCGTATTCCCGCATGAGTCTTTGAGTAACCCGAAGACGAAATCCATTGAGATGGATTCCCAGCACTCAGCCAGAACCGGTAGAGGCTGTAAAGGTGCACGCAGTGAAGGACTTGACTTCACTCGTTGAAAGACTTCGCATGCGCGAACATACTTGCGCACAAACTGATACTGGCGGGGCCAGTAAAAGTCTCGACTTACCGTGAGATATGTTTTCTCTCGGCCACGATGTCCTCCTATAGGAGCATCGTGATACTCGAACATGATCCGCAAACGCAGATCAGTATCATCTGGAATGACAACGCGTGGTGTGTCACCAGAAACGGCTGTATAGTACAGTAAACCGTTACGAGTAGTGTATCGATCTGATGCAGATCGATACGCAGACGACAATCGTTTCAACGATTCTCGAGATGGTTGGGAGAGATGTGTCAACAACTTCACTATCTCACCATCTTGGGCGTATGCCCGCCTCACATCATCATACAACGTTGTAGATGGGACTGAGGACGTCATAACCGCAACAGTGACTGTCTCACTGTTGGGTTTCGCGACTGTTTCAAAGTCGGGACGACGTGAGAGTGCATCAGCGACGACATTAAGTAGTCCTGGTTTGTACTCGACCGTAAAGTTGTATTCCGCAAAGAATGACAACCACCGCGCCATTCGTTGTGAAAGGTGCGGGCTGTTCACTGCCGTGCGTAATGACGCATGGTCAGTGTAAACAATGTAGGGTCTATCTCCTAATAGATAGACTCTGAACTTCGCGAGTGCATACTTCATGGCAAGGAGTTCCTTGTCATGCACTGGATAGTTCCGCTCAGCTGGTTGCAGCTGACGCGACTGATAGCAGACGACGCGTTCAACGCCTTCAAGATCGTACTGCATTAATGCACAGCCGATTGCGAAATCGCTGGCATCACAGACCACATGAAATGGCCTGTCCTGATCGGCTATTGCTAGGACTGGGGATTGTATCAAGCTCTGCTTGATACCATCAAAGGAGCGCTGACATTCAGCGTTCCATAACCACCTCTCGTTCTTTTTCAACAAACGAGAGAGGTGCACAGTCATCTCGGCGTAATTGCGTGAATACTTATGCAAATACGCCGCTAGACCAAGGAATTTTCGAAGACCTTCGACATCAACCGGCACAGGCCAGTCGGTGATCGCCTTGATCTTTTCGGGATCAGGACGTACACCGTTTTTACCAACGATGCACCCAAGAAGTGGTATTTCGCTTGCGGCAAATATACACTTCTTGAGGTTTGCATACAATTGATGCTTTCGCATGATTGTAAGAACCTGTCGGACGTGGTACCTGTGAACCTCAACGTCCGACTTTCCATCCATAGCTCGACTATGGATGAATACGTCATCGAAATAGCTCGGCGCGAATTCTCGTACTAGTCTCAACAGATGTGATACACATCTGTTGAACGTGGCAGGGGCATTACTGAGCCCTTGTGGCATTACTAGCCATTCCCAGAGCATGCCGCTAGGCGTGCTAACTGCGGTATAGGGTATATCCCGTTCCCGCATAAGGATTTGATAGAAGCCATCCATCAAATCCATGGACGAAAAGATGGTACTCTTTGACATACCATCAATGATTACGTCCTTCCTCGGTATCGGCGTCTGAGCCGGTACCGTTGCAGCGTTCAATTTGTTAAACGCGTGCACTATCCGCCATCCTCCTGTTGCTTTTCACACACAGAAGGTCGGAGAGCTATGTGGGGAAGTTGATTCCCTCACATGGCCCGCAGCTAAACGATCGGCAAAGAACTTGTCGATCGCAAGTACTTGTTCACGAGGCAGTGGCCACTGCTTCATGACACAGTACTTCGAGCCTGGTTTAAGCTCGACCTCGTGTCGAATACCTTTATCCTTCGGTAATTCGCACGGAACAGTTTCAGGGAATACATCCTTGAATTCAACCAAATCTTCATAGAGAGGATTTTTCTTGAGCGATTCCCATGATTGGGAGTCATATCGCTCAATTCGTGTCTTTTCATCTAGGACACTCTCGTCCATAGATGAACTACTGAGAACTCTCTCGTTCTCAGTGAACACTGTTGCTGACCTTATGTCGGTTACACACTCGTCGTCAGCGACGAGTATGCAGATCTGCTTGACTTTGCCACTACGTAGATCACGCAAGAACCTTTTATGTTCGAGCGTTGGCAACTGAGTGATCTCCGAAGTTAACTTCGGAGGCGCAATCAGATCAAGTGTATAAGCGCCTACACTTGATCCGTTATTGACTATGACATTCAATGTCTCTGTTATTTCCTGGGGACTTATTCCCTCAGGCTTCGAAGGACTTATTCCTTCGTCTTCCCGGGGACTTATTCCCGCGGGTTTCGGGGAACTTATTTCCGCCGTGTTTGTAATCTTGGGACTTATTCCCTTTACTTCCTCTAGCTGGGGTTGCGCAACCACAGCGAGATCCTCTACGAAAGACTCTCCAGTCGATCTAGGATTATCGTTTCGCTTAACCTGAGCGATCGATTGTTTCTCTTCTAGATGTTCCCCGCTAGGGATACATCTTTGTCCCAGTCCACCCGACTTATTCGAGTGGTGGACCTTTGGCGCAGCCTGTGTTTCCTCACAGCCGCCGGAACTTTGCTCGAAGTGTAACCGTTTGGTACACTAAGGTTTTGTGCAGTCGTACTAACGACCGTACCACAAGTGAGGCCATCGCACTCACTCGTAGTACATTCACACGCTTGTGGACGCTCCAAAACGTTCATCAGATGGCCATCTGATGAACAAGCGGCGGAGCATCGTTACTGTCCGATGTTGCCAGTTTACCCTTGGTTCGTACCTTCTGAGCCACGGTATTCCAAGGATGACATCAAATTTGTCATCCAAATCCAATACGATAAAGTCATCGTCATATTGGGTATCTTCTAGCGTATAGTGGATCTTCACTATACGCTTCATGACGGTTACGGATGCGCCTGTCGCAAGACGTACCGTCATCCTCGTAGGAGGTGTGTCACATTCACTGAATTTAAAGTGACCATCTTCTAGCGATTGGCGTCGCACAAAATTGTTGGACGCCCCACAATCGACTAGAGCTCGAAGGGACAACTTATTTTGTCACTTCGAGTTTCAAGTTAATGAGTGAGATCTCATTACCTAGAGCAGCAACGCACAACGTTTGTGTGTTGGGGAGCAACCTTCATCAAGAGGCCTACAAATTCTCTTGACGTTGCTGGATCAGTAGGGTGCTCCGCACCTACTGATCCTGTCCGTTTTTTGACGGTCCATCCCGTTGTTGCGTCTTTGCACCAACTGCGGACCCTCGTCCCTGCCCCTTTCTCATGGGTGGACGGTCACTACGCCCAGTGTCGCGAGACACTGGACGAGGGGCACTACACTCGTAAGCGTAGTGTCCTGTCTTTTGACATCTGTTGCATCTCTGCAACTTCTTGTAGCCTGTAGAGCGAGCCTTCTCGCTCTCTACATAACAGAGTTCCATCGGCTCTGGACCTCCGTTGTCATATCGTCTCGGTTGACGATATGATGTCGAGCTGGCGCGAGCCTGTCTCAGACTGAAGTCTTCCTGCTCCGCAATGGAAATGGCTTGTTCTAGTGAATCTAGTTCAAGCCGGAACAGGTGAGTCTTGACGGGACCATCCGCAAGACCCTGCATGAACACCGAAACCAACGTGTGTTCATCCACCGGATTGGAACTTATACAACTCGTGAGATGTCGTATATGTTGAGCGTAAGCGTGTACATCACGCTTACCCTGCTTGAGCTTCAAGAGTTCGGTTCGAGCCCTGAACTCAGCTCTAGGCGGTTCAAACGTTTGTCTGAGCCGCGACTTGAAGACTTCCAACGACCCAAACGCATATGGGTCGTGCAACTTGAGCCCCAGTGCCCAAGTCTTGGCACGTCCTGCCAGATTTGACTGGGCAAATGCAACTTGCATATCCCCGTCGTCGATGCGACGCGCCCTTATGGCGTCATCCAATTCGACGAACCATCTCAAGAGGGAGTCTTCTTCGACCCCCTATACTTGGAGATGTCAATCTTCAAGGTTTCGGGTCGACGCGAGTGCATCGACCCACCAGCAGCAGCCTGCTGCTGTCTCAACAGTTCAAACTGTTGAGCACCCTGTTCTCTCAACAACTCTGCTTGTTGAGAACCTTGTTGGTGAAGCAAGGCTACTTTCTCGCGTTCTGCGTCAAGTTCATTTTGAATGAACTTGGCGATAGTAGCATGTTGGGCATCTCTATTGAGAGCCTCTAGCATGACGCTAACAGCATGGATGCCCATGGTCGAACCCATTCGTTCAACCGCATTCCATTCGACATCGCTTAAATGGGAGTAGCCGTCACGCGTAGCGTGAAAGCTTTGGTCATCTTCATCATCCAACATATTCATGTTGGATGTGAACGCGCTCCTTGGACGGACTACGAAGTGCTACCAGGTGTAACGGGGCACCCTGAAGCTTGTACTGGTGACAGTACAAGCTACTTATTCTGATGACAGAATAAGGCGGTGCCTCGTAACTTCACGTACACTCGTACGTGCAGAGGAAGACGGTAAGAAGAAGCGAGTACTTGGTTAAAGTAAAAAGTAGAACTGTATTTAGTATAGTTAATGTCTGCAATAAATCACTATTTATCTTCATCTAACTATGTGTAAATACAAATGTGTAAATCAATTATCTGCTCACCACTCATTGCGTGCGTCTGTCGTGGCGCGTCTTCGTTGGTTGATATAATGGCCTATATCAACCAATTAGGAACTATTCGTAAGTGCTACAGAATATTTGTCCTTATGACAATATTCTGAGAATATAACTCTTATAGTTATATTCTATTAACAATTTCTTATAAATTGTTATGTAACGATTCACCCCGTTACAGATGTGTAGCTCCTAAGCCTATTTCTAGCAATTTACGTTATAAGTATGCGGAAAGTAATTTTGCAGCACATTGGAACAGCGCAGCATTTTGGGTGGCATCAGATATTACCGTTTAAATGCAGCATCTTAAGTGCTGGCGGATACAGTCTGGAAAAATCTTGTTGAAGCCTGAGTGAGCCGATGCCTAAATGGATGGATAATTAAGCGGCCAACAAGCAACTAGAAGCGGAAAGAGCACTTAATGCGTGAATCATGTGGACATCCTTTTTAAGTTTATCTGTCACCATGCACGTGAAGGAACGGTAAAATTAAGGTTGGTGAAATCGGATAACATGATGGCAGAAAATCTCTGTAACGGGGTTTATACTCGCCATCGGCGGAATCGGTTGACGGCGTCCCATATGTGATATGGGAGACAAGTGTGGCCTTATATTCTGTATCAATAGAGAATACCGAGGAGTCGGTATTCTCTGAGTTACGGTAACTCACCGTGGAAGTACTTTGTACCGTCATCATTTGATGACTGAGTGATGTGTCAACCACCCATTTAGTTCGAATACTAGTTTTTGTATTAGTTCCAGCTTATTAGAATATAGGGTACTTAAAGTAGGATTTCCTTGATACAAACCTAAATGAACTCAGTTCTCATTTTAAGCAGAAGTACGTAGACTTCCACATTTCGCACGTTGTGCTTGACAGTTCCTTAGAACGGTCGTGGATTAGAGAGTCCTTAGACTCTGGTATTCCCCTTTGCACATTGTGCGTCTATTTCCTTAAAACTACGTAGTCTGAGATTAATAGCTCATAGAGTCCGCGCTAAGTTTCGTAGAACTAGCTGACTCTTTAACTTGATTTATTAGTTCCTTAGAACTAATTGGCTACCAGCCCTCACAACTAATCGGCTGTTAGCCTTAAGTGTAACGGGGTAGCCCTTTACATGATATTGACATTAACCGGTGTCAATAGGGAGATCGTCTAGCGTGACAATCCCCTGCCAGTATTATCCGAGATCGATTATATTGTAGGAATATCGTACCCCAGGATAACATTCATGCGCTACTTAAAGATTGGTTGATAAAGGACATGTCAACCAAGGTTACCACCAATCGCTGCTATACGCGCGCAGTGAGTGGTGAGCAGGTTGTCGTCATACGCCAGTATGTATACTTTTATAGATAGATAAAGACTGAAGCTATACTGATAGCTTAAATGTATTAGATACAGTTCACTTTTTACCCTTTTCTCAAACTGGCCGTTTGAGTAGATTAGCTTCCTCTGCACGTATTAGTGTACGTGAAGTTTCGTGGTACCCCAAACATAGTGTGCCCCGTTAAACCTGGTAGCACTTCGTGGTCCGTCCAACGACTGCTTCGTGTCCGTCCGGCATGAACATGCTGAAAGGTGAAGCCGACAGCTTTCACGTCACACGTGAAGGCTACTCCCATCCGAGTGACTCACGATGGGAGTTTTATCGGCCCTATGAGTGTGATCATGGGCGTACCATCCATCAGTGGCATGTTAATTTCTTTAAATAGATGCCAACAACATGCTGCTATCAACAATTTCCTACAAGGGGAACTTGCTTTCGAAAGACAGAAGATAGCCTTGCTGCAACAGCAAGGCTCATCAATCGATGGGCGGGCCGACGCACACGCGTCGACCCGAAATCATTAAGATAGATATCTCAAGGTACAAGGGAACCGATGAAAAATTGCCTTTTGACATGGCTCGTCGAGTTAGACGACGCCATCAGGTCACGTCACATCGAGGGTGACGAGATGCAAGTCACCTTCGCCCTATCAATTTGACAGTAAGAGCAAAGACTTGGGCCTTAGGGCTCACTCCTTTCGAATTAAAAGTGATTGAGTCGTTAAAGACCTTATAGTCTCGGCTTACGAAACGTTTGAGCCGCCAAGAGCCGAGTTCATAGCACGCTCTGCACTCTTGAGGCTAAAGCAAGGTAAGCGTGACGTGAACGCTTACGCACAGCACCTGCGCTACCTTTCGAGTAGTGTTACGGAAATTCCTGTTGATGAGCACTATCAACGTGTTCATCAACGGCCTTGTGGATGGGCCGGTGAAGACCTACATTTTTCGAGAGGACTTCCATACGCTGGAAAAGGCGATAGCAAATGCGGAACAAGAAGACTTTAGCCCGAGACAGTCTCAGGCTAACTTGTCAAACTATCGTCCGACGAGACGACAGGAAACAAGAGACCCAAATCAATGGACCTCTGTTACATCGAGAGCGAGAACCTCGCTCTCTGAGTCATAAGCGAACGGCAAGATGCCATCGCTGTCAGAAGATTGAAAACTACGCTCATGAGTGTAGTGTCCCAAGCTCCGCAACACGTCCAAAGACAGGACGTGATGACCGCCGTTGGCCGAGGAAAGGTCAAAGGCGTGGGTCCGACCATGTCGCTAAACCGTGACAGCAAGTCGAGCCGCCAAAAAACGGACAGGGTCAGTAGGGCGGAGCAACCTGCTGATCCAGCAACGTCAAGAGAATTTGCAGGACTCTTGACGAAGATTGCTTCCACACACTTATTCGCTGTGTGTTACTACCCCTAGTGATGAGCTGTCTTTCACCACTTTGAAGATCGAAGCGACAAGTGGAATGTCACTTTGCGCCCTAGTTGACTGCGGGGCGTCGATAAGGTTTCATTCGACGTCAGTCGCTAGAAGATAATAGGCTCAACTATGTGAGCGAGAGTATCCCTCCGAACGAGGATGAAGGTGTGCCTTGCTACAGGCGCATCCGTTATAGTGAACAAACGTGTAGTAGGAATACACTACACGCTAGAAGAGAGGCAGTACGATAGTGACTTCATCGTATTAGATTTTGGATGACAAATTTGATGTCATCCTCGGTCTGCCATGGCTCAGAAATACCAGCCATGGATCAGCTGGCAGCATCGATCCGTAAAGAATCCTGCCGTTTGTTCATCAGATGGCCATCTGATGAACGTCTTTGAGCTTGTTCACAAGCGTGTGGATGTACTACGAGTGAGTTCGATGGCCTCACTTGTGGTACGGTAGTTAGTACGACTGCACAAGATCACAGTGTAGAAGGCCACTACACTGTGGAACCAGCTTCCAGCACCGTGTAGAGACACAGGCTGTGTCGAAGGCTCACCACTCGAAGAGATCGAGTGGACTAGAACACGGATGTACACCAAGAAGGGCGCATCCAGGAAGAGAAATTAGTGTGGCTCAAGATGAACAACACGTTGGAACGAGATCGACCAACAGAGAGTCGATGGTAGAGAAAGCCCGATCGACTGAAAGATAGTCTATCGAAGAGGACGTGACTGTGGTAGTGCACCCACAGTCAGCACACGTATTGAAAGAAAGTTCTAGGGTTCCTGAGAGTGATAACTCCCGCGAGAGTTATGTTGAGGGTGTGTATTCCCAACCACCTGCTGAATGTGTTTTTCCCAGGAAATCACCGAGACAGTAAATATTTCCGTGAATGACAGATCAAGTGTAGGCGCTTATACACTTGATCTGGTTACACCTCCGAAGTCAGCTTCGGAGGTAGTCAAGTTGCCAACGCTAGAATCTAAAAGATTCTTGCGAGATCTGCGTAGTGACAAGATCAAGCAGATCTGCGTCTTCGTCACAGAGGACGAGTACGTCACCATTATTCGGTCAGCACAAGCATTTACTGATAACAAAGGGTTTTCAGTAGCTCATAGGTGGACGAGAGTGATCTTGATGAGAAAATTCGGATTAATCGATACACGTCTCAATCTTGGGATTCTTTGAAGACAAATCCTTTGTTTGAGACTTGGGTCAAATTTAGGATGTTTTCCCTGAATCCGTGGCATGCGAGCTGCCTAAAAATTAAGACACTCGGTATGAGATCTAATTGAACCCCGGTTCGAAGTACTGTGAAGCAGTAGCCACTGCCTCGTGAACAGATCACAGCGATCGACAAATTCTTTGCCGATCGATAAGCGGCTGGTCAAGTGAGGGAATTAACATCCCCCCCAGCTCTCCGACCTTTTGTGTGCGAAAGGCCACAGAAGGGTGGCGGATAGTGCACGCGTTCAACAAATTGAACGCTGCAACGGTACCGGCTCAAACGCCGATACCAAGGAAGGACGTCATCATAGATGGTATGGGAAAGAGTACAATCTTTTCGTCCAGGGATCTGATGGAAGGATTCTCATGCGTGAACGGACATCTCGTACACAGCAGTGAGCACCCTCAGTGGTATGATCTAGGAGTGGCTAGTGATGCCAAAGGGGCTAAGTGACGCCCCTGCAATGTTTAATAGATTTGTTACGAATGTGTTGCAATCGGTGCGAGATTTTGCACCGAGTTGCTCTGACGATATCTTCGTCCATAGCCGGGCTATGGATGAAAAGACGGACGTGGATGTACATAGAATCCACGTTCAGGAAGGTTCTTACACTAATGCGAGAGCATAAGATGTTCGCGAACCTCAAGCGTGTGTATTTTCGCAGCGAATGAGATAACCACTTCTTGGCTGCATCGTGAAAAAAAAACCACGTACGCCCTGATCCGGAAAAGATCAAGGTGATTAGCGACTGGCATGGGCCAGTCGTCGTCAAGGGACTCCAAAGGTCCTTGAGATTGACGGCGTACTAGCACAAGTAATCGCGCAACTACGCCGAGACGACCGTTCATCTCTCTCGTCTGTTAAAGGAAAAGCGTGAGGTGGTCATAAAGTGCTAAGTGTCAGCAGTCCTTTGCAGGTATCAAGAAAAGCTTGATGCAATCGCCTGTGTTGGCGATTGCAGACCAGTACAGACCATTCCGTGTGGTCCGTGACGCCAGCAATTTTGCAATCGGCTACGAGTTAACGCATTTCGACTTAGACGGCGTCGAGCGCGTCGTCTGTTATCAATCGCGTCAGCTGCAAGCAGCTGAGCGTAATTACCTAGTGCATGACAAGGAACGCCTTGCCATGAAATAGGCACTGGCTAAGTTTCAGGTGCATCTCTTTGAAGATAGACCTCTAATCGTGCTTACCGACCATGCGTCTATACGCACGGCTGTAAAAAGTCCACACCTTTCGCAACAAATGGCGAGGTGGCTGTCTTTCTTCGCGGAGTACAACTTCTACGTCGAGTATAAACCAGGACGACTTAATGTCGTCGCTGATACTCATTTTCGTCGGTACTGCTTCGAGCCGACTGATCAACTCTACAGTAGGGTTGAGCCCGTTGTTGCATCACCATCAGTGAGTGTTCCGTCGTCGAAGATGCTCGACGACGTGCGGAAATCATTCGCAGAAGATGAGACTCTTCTACGATTAGTGGATTACGTGTCAAATACATGCAGTCAAGCTTTGAAAAGCTTGACGTCTTAATACCGCTTTTCAACCGAATGGAAGTCGGTTTTTGATGGACTGCTGCACTAAATAGCAGTCAACGGCGACAGACCTCGTGTCGTCCTTCCGGCTCACGATGATTTGCGATTGCGCATCATCTATGAGTGTCGCGATTACCAACAAGAGGGCATCGCGGTGAGAGAGAAGGACTTACCTCACGGTAAGTCGTGACTTCTACTGTCCTAGCTAGTACGAGTTTGTGCGCAAATACATTCTGCGCTTGCAAAGTTTGCCAAAGAGTGAAGCCTAGTCCTTCATCCCGTGCACCTTTGCAGCCTCTACCGATTCCGGCAGAGTGCTGGTAGTCCGTATCTATGGACTTCGTCTTTTAGCTTCACAAAGACGTTCACAAGAATACTAGTATTCTTGTGTTTGTTGATCGGTTCAGCAAGATGGTGCATCTGGTTGCTGTAACGGAGTCAATCACAGCTCAGGGCTGTACTCGTGTTTTCTTCGATACTTTTCTCCGACTTCATGGATTACCCCGTGAACTCATGTCTAAAAGGGATATCCGCTTCACAGCGGTTTTCTGGCAATCCGTGTCCCGTTCAACTTAGAACACGTTATAAGGTGTCGACTTCTGACCACACTAAAAACAGATGGTAAGACGGGGGGCGTCACCCGCGTCCTCGAACAGATGCTTTGAGGGTACGTCCACTCGCTTACGAGTTGGAGTGAGTTCTTGCCGATGGCGGAATTTGTTATCAACAACTCGGTGCACGCGTAGACAACGCATACACCGTTCTTCGTGAATGGCATACGCCACCAGATTTACTAGCCTTCTTGAGCGTGACTCTATGTTAAAGGGGGTGGGCTCGCTCAAACAAAACCAATTTGTTTCTTTCTCATTACATGTCGACAATGATGTTGACGTGATGGATTTTAACGTCGATCACATCGACATCGATAATGATGATGACGACGATGCTGGTATATTCAGCAGGTCCAATGACTGCTACAGTGAGGAAGATGACTTTCTTTCATCCGTGCACACGAAGCGCACTAGGATGAAGTAGCAGAGGATATTCTGCTGACACGCGAAGCGGTGGTCCGCTTTGTTCAAGACTCTTTTGCAGATGCATTTAGACAGAGAAAAAACACATGCAAACATGGAAGAGCAAATGTTATTTCACTTGATAAAGGAGACCTAGTTTTACTGTCAACAAAAAATCTACCGAAACACGCAGTGACAAACGTGGGCAGCAGTAATTTACTGCCCAAGTACATTGGTCTATTCGTGTATTGCGCCGCATGATCCCGCAAAGACGATTGAACTGCCTCGTAGGATGCGTACGCAGCCTACGTTTCATCTTGGACGTCTCCGCCCGTACTATCAGTACGAGCCCATATCGAGAGGCGAAGAACACCTCCACGGTCGAGAGCCAAGAACACTCTCGAGTGGTCCCGTTTCAACGAACCAGTCTGGTCGACTAGCGAAGCGACCTGTTCACGCAGCTCAGCAAATGTCTCGACGAGCAGCAGCCAGCTCATCACGAAGAGAACGAGTCGAACGTTAGTTTTCAAGCTGCGCGAACGCAAAAGCGGCACGATCGTCCAAACGATCGTACGGTTAGGGAATTTTAATAATCCCTCACAAGATCCTTAAGCCCACAAACGCCGAGAGTGTTCATGAGCCAGGTCATCTTGCAACTGTTCCGTTAGACGGTTCAGCTCTTGAACATCAACTTGATCCGATCCTCGAGCCGAATCAGGTGTTTCCACCGCCACCACATCCTTTGTGGGACTCAAGCGGTGGTCAACGCTCTCTAGTTGAGCGTATTTTAAGCCACCGCGATGTGAATGGCGTCCGGACGAGTTACCTCGTCCGCTGGAGTGTCTATCCACCGGCCTGGGACAGCTGGGAGCTTGTACACAGCTGTTTTTTTTATTTCCTTGATCTCGTCGAGCAGTACGACGAGACCCACCCGCTGCGTTCGAAGGAGGGCCGTCGGAAAATGACCTCCGCGAACGCGAGTTCAGGGATTGCAAAGTTTCAATCCCTTCAGCCATCTCGGAAGAGATGCGCACCCTCTAGTAGGGATCGTTAGGGAGGTAGGCCTCCTTAGGGGCACGGTTCAAGTTTTCCAGGCAACCTGGACACGAATCACCCCACGAGAGACAGGGTAATCCTGCCTCTCTTGATAGCTGGTGCAACTTGTATCGCGCCCCGACTGAATTGCGTTTCTCAAACCTGATGCGAGCTGCATCAAGCTTACCGAGCCTGACCTCACGGCCGATGCACTCGATGTTGTGGATGAGAGCATTCCATCCCTGCACCAAAGCTTTCCGTCTCGAACACGGCTACCATTGTACCATCAATGTTTAAAAAACACATCAGTGAAGAATTCTTCCTCAGCACGGATCGTTTCCGTGCTGGAATCAGGTGGGCAAATTTTTCTGCAATCGAACAAAGGGATCGATCCCGTTCGGTAGTCGGGCCGGCCAACCGGTCCAACTCTCTAATTGACGTCATCCAAGGAGACTCCACTTGAGGAGCGTGACGGAGGACATTTTGGTCCCTGGCCTTTGGAGTGGTGTCAGCATGAGCACTGACACCAGTGGCAGCTCAATCTCTCGAGCTTAATATCTCGGGGTGATGCATTGGGGCATCACCACCATCACCACGCACCCTGTTGTCAGACGACGTGCGTGAGACGAGGATTTGTCATAGAGTCGCTCGGTCTATAGATCTCAGACATGATGTCGCCACATTACCCAGATCCATTCAACCTGGCTATTTCAGTGTACGCCCCGGATGATCCGGAGGCGTTAGGTGTCGCCTTCGAATCGAATTCGCCCGATTCGCCAGAATAGATGAACTCTATCTATAGCTCATCTACATCGCTTGTCGCAGCATCTGCTGCAGACGAAGCGGATGTAACTGTCGCACGTGGTGACTCACCACGTATACTATTCACAACAGGCATCGCCTGTTGCTGAATCGCAACAGTAGGTGAGGGATCCTCTGCTGCTAAAGCAACAGAAGAACTATCTTCGGCTGCACGCATAAGTGCACCCAACCGCTTTTTTTCTGCTTCGGCAGCGCATCGCATGGACTTCGACACCATGCGATGGATTGCCAAATGAATTGGAATTTGACCAACAAGTGCTCCTTTTCCCAAAATGATCCAACGGTGATTATTTTTTTCCAATTAACTAAATTCATTATACGGTGATTGATGGTTAAGGGGGCGGTGATGTAATGGGGTAGCCTGATATTGACATCAAACGGTGTCAATAGGGATATCGTCTAGCGTGACAACCCCCTGCCAATATTATCCGAGATGGATAATATTGTAGGAATATCATCCCCCAGTAAAATGTTCATGCGATGCTCATAAATTGGTTGATAAAAGACATATCAACCAAATTTACGACTATTCGCTGCTAGACGCGCGCAATGAGTGATGAGCAGGTTGTCGTCGTGCGACAATATGTAGATTATTATAGTCACATAAAGACTGACGTTATGTTAATAGCTTAAATGCACTAGATACAGATCACTTTTTACCCTTTACTCAAACTGGCTGTTTGAGTAGATTAGATTCCTCTGCAAGTACTAGTTTTACATGAAGTTTCGCGGCAGCCCAAAAAAGGGTGCTCCATTACAGTAAGCCTCTGGCTTAACCCGAAAAGTATTCCTCTGACTTTAAAGCTGTGGTAGCTCCGCTACATCCTCACGAAGTCGTTGCCTGCCCGAAAATAGAAGATCTTCGAGGAATGTTCAACTAAAGACGATTCAGGCTGACGTTGAGGAGGAGTGCAAAAAAGTACTATTTCTGACAGTTCATATAAGCTCGGGGTGGAGAATAAATGACCTATGACTGGTAAAAGGCAATATCACCTGATTGGATGAAGAATTGACAGGTGGGAATCCCACCTGATTGGCTGATGAGTTGACAGGTGGGACCAGGGTGCGATAAACGAACATCATGCGGGAACAGGAGTGGCATATGGTGAGGGGCACGCTGGACGCGCGCTGGCTGTAACTTGACTAGGTCAAGTTGCAGTGCTGGTCATCAACTATATGTGGTCAAAATAGCAACGAAGTAGTTACATTCTAACATTTATAGTTCTTATTTCCTACTTCCGCACAACTGCATCAACATGCAACAAAAGCGATGTTCATTTTCTTGCTTCCATGTCTAAATCTACACCTTGCTCTAGCTTTCGTACAACGACCGGTCTTCGTCGGCTAAGCGCAAAAGTAAGTGCAAAGTTTGGCAATTCCAGCACAAACGGTGGTCATGCGGCCTATTAAACGTAGACCTGAGGGGTTTATTTTGAGCTTTCCTGCGTGGTTTACGTAGCGCGTGCTGTATAAATTGTGTGAAGGTACAAGCCCCAGCTTCTATTTAACCATACCAAGAACTTCACAGCTAATTAGTTTCTCTGAGGCTGCTGCTAGTCGAACACACTTGTTCTTCGTCCATTTCACAAGGCTGGCGAGGTTTGTCTCAGAATGTGAAACCCCATAGATCCAATGGGAAACAACAAAACTGCTTCAAAGCAATCAATGGTGATTGAATCGATTGTTTCGCACGTTTAATTAAGAATAACAAAACTTAGATGATTATGCATTTACGTTACAGTTTGTGGGAAACGATTATGTTCAAGAGTTCGCCTGGTTGTTCCCATCACTTCCTTTTTTACTATCCGAGGCTTTTTTTTTTAAGGCGCATTAATAATATCATCTCAAAATTGAACATTAAAAAACGCATAATTTCACACTGCTCCTAGCAATCGCTTTTCAGTCAACATACACAAAAATAAAGCTCATCATTGATGGGCACGACTGATAAACACGTTCGACTAGAAGATCTCATTTGATTTAGAGATCTAGTTTCTACGCTTCTGATTGTCTACGTACAGCACAGAATGCATTTCGTAGTGAAAAACATGCTGTACGTAGTCTACACAAATACATGGTTTGACAATTATCGCTCTTCTGTGAGCCTAGATCCTTAACTCCAACGTCCGAATGGCAACACTTTGTGCGATCCGGACGGTTGTAAATACAAAAGTGTAGTCGTAGTTGCTCTTGTGCAAGAGGTGTTAGAAGTAAAAGTGAATATATTAGTGGTAACTACTCTCGTCCGTCAACACTACAACATGCATTTTCAACGGTACTTCATGTTGACCAGATCAAGTCGCACATGGTGGTCGTCTCTCCCCGTCCCAAGTGCCATCTCATCACATAGCGCCCGTCTCTCCCGATCCCATCTGTCAAGATGCCACAAAAGAGACAGCCAATCAGGTGACGTCGCATATTACCTGTAACTGATCTGGAACTTGGGCTTTAAATCTTGATGACCTGTCAGAACCAGTACCTTCTAACACTACTCCTCGACATCATCCTGGACGGCAACCAAATTGAACATCCCGTGCAAGTCCACGATCTTGGGTGTTAGAAGTGCCTTCGTAAACAGATTCGCTATTATTTCCCCGGACCGGACAAAATTGACTGGACAACTTTCGCTTGAGCGTATTGGCAGATAAACTTGAATCGTTTGTCCACATGTTTTGCGCTTGAGGTACTTTTCTCTCTCTCCAACTTCTTGATTGCTGCCTGATTGTCCATCCACATGGGCATCGGTTCAACAATCATCATGCCCAGTTCACCGATTAGCTCCTTGAGTCCTAGTAGCTAGCGTCCTTCTTGTGATGCCACAATAAATTCTGCTTCCATCGTGCTAAGCGAGACATCAGTCTGTTTCTTGCGCGCCCATGACACCACCGCACCATCCATTATCAAAACGCATCCCGACACCGACTTCGGTCAGTCTTGTCCGCGGCGAAATCTGCGTCGCTCCAGCTTTCAATCTTGATTGGATCTGTTGATTTGCTTAAACTGTTTATGATCAGTTTCAATGTCTTGTTCCCTTCAGGTACCTTGCAACTCGCTTGGCCATCTTCTAATCATTAATCGTTGGCTTGTGCGTCTGTCTGGTTGTACGGTGCACAGCATAACTGATGTCTGGCTGGGTACAACATTTAATCCAAAGAAGACTCCCAAAAAGGGACTGGAAAGCTTTGGTGTTTGCATGACCGGACTTAGGATCTGCAACCAATGTATCTGAATCTTGAGTTTCCACATCATTGCAATCCTCGTCAATTGGGGCTCGGACTTTGTTAGCTGATTCTAAGCATGGTCCTTTAGTAGAGTATCGATCATCACCTCTTGATCTAGCACATGTCCGAACTTGACGTCCAACAGAGTCCGTAAGCCGACAAAGTTGTTAAAGATACCCAAATCCTTTATTCCAAGAGACGACATGCTCTCGAAAAAGTGGTCGACAACTCCAGGTGACGATCCTGTGACCACCAAATCGTCAACGTAGACTCCCACAATCGTAATGTCGGGGTCGCTCTTTTATGTACAGACACATGTCCGCCCTTCACTGCTTGAAACCCAGTTCGACCAGCTTCGAGTGCAATAATTTACTCCACAATCGGTTGACCTGTTTCAATCCGTACAGTGACTTCTTAAA